ACAACTGGTCACCTCTGATTTGGTCTTCTTCTCAGCGGCCATCAGCTGAACCTTGTCTCTTTGTTCCTTTGGGGCAGAGCGGTACATGTCCAACAAGAGCTTCATTTCCCTCTGAGACTCTTGGGCTTTTCTATACAATAAAATGTAGCAGTGATTTGTAATAAGTTTAGTTATATTTAGATGTACACTATTCAACTTTTCAGCTGAAGGGCTGCCACCTGCTTGCCTCCATGGAGATGTTATTGCTTTACACGGAATGTTCCACAGTATGGTATTAAACTTATAAACTTGTCTAACTCCACGGAGACTAGCAGATGATTCCAACAGGCCAAGGCATAGGTCTGATGTGTGGAGAGGCGACCCCAACTATAGTAAGAAAACATGTTTTTCCAGGATTTTTTAGCAATAAAAAGAAATCCAAGATATATTATTTTAATATCATTCTGTGGGATAACCCAGCAAAAGGAATAGTATCGCCATGGAGCAGGCAGACGAAACAGCAAAGTAACAGTGCAATTTTAAAGCATGACTTACTTCAGCTCTGCTCTAACAATTTTGAGCTGCTCCATCTCTTTCTTCTTGGAGCCTCCAATTGCGGCCGTGCGCTCTGACTCTTCAGGCTGACTGCTGCTGCTTCCAGGTTTGTCTTTCTCTTCTTTGATTGCACTGCCCCCGCTGCTGCGCGTCGGGCGCTCTCTGTCCTTCTCTCGCTCCTTTTCCTCTTTCTTCACAATATCTTTCTTTTCTTCCCTTTCTTTCTTCTCCTCTTTCTCCTCCTCCTTAACAGTCACCTCAGGCTCTGCTACAGGCTCCATTTTCGCCGAGGCACCTGAAGAAATACATTCAATAGGCCAAGTTTACCACTATGCTCCTCCCACCCCCACCTTAATCATTATTTATAGAATCAGGAATTTGAACAAGAGTTCTTTTAATATTTCTAGTATGTGTTACTGATTGTTGTATGCAGTTGGACTGTAGTCCACTAAAGAAATTCTTGTTTGACTAAGATGTGGTGTGTGCATGATTATTGGATGATTATTGGGGTGTAGTGCTGGCAATTTTTTGGGAAAAAATAATTATGCACAGTTAAAGTTAAAAACACAAAGTACTACAAGTAAACTGCATCTTATTAAGTGAAAAAGATTAAAACCTCCAGCTAACTCAACTCATGCCTTCTCCTTCTGTTGGTCCTTAATAAAATGACTTTAAAAATGTATACATCAAGTAAATGACTAAAGACCTCGGCTCCATCAATTACATTACCAGTTCAACAGTTCAAGAATCCAAATAAAAATATTATTTGTTACCTGTGCTGCTTGGAGTAGAGGAGCCATTGTCGGGCTCACTCTTAACCACAGGTTCCCCAGAAACAGCAGGTGTCATAGGGGAAGTCGTCTCCTCTTTCACCTCCATCTCTGTGCTGGATTGGGACTGAAGAATGCTGCTACCTTTAGATGTTCGAACCTACATTTGTGTGCAATATTAGATGATTCATCAGTGTTTACCATTAATCTAAAAACAAGCTGAATAAAAATGTGATTATACAAATGATACTTTATGTTTTATGCTACTTGGTTTGCAGTATTTAAGTATAAATTGATGCAAATTTCATGACATACAGGAATAAGATATCAGCAAGTTAAATGAAAACAACTGGATTACTTAGTGTTTTGAGAGCCTTGTGACCACCCACCTCTACATCGGGTGGGAGTCGGAGTCACCTACAAAAGCCCTAAGAAAGCTATCTGGTTGGTAGCTAAACATTGTCTTGAAAAACCTAAGTCCAGCTATTTTCATTTAACGCTGATAATAGTAAGTACATTTAATCTGTAATCAGTGCTTTTTGATCAGTTGAAGCAATAAGTGACATACTCCAAATACTGAAAGGATTAAAGGGATTCAAATATGGATTCTTTGTGCTACCATAGCCTGAGTATTAAAATAGGAAACACTGCATTTAATGCTATGTTTTAAAATTGATAGATGCTGATAATGTACAAAATCACACGAACTGGTTATCACTGTTGTGGACCCACCTGGCTGAGCTCCGCCTGTGACTCTCTCAGTCTTAGTTTATATTTCACCACCTCCCCTTTCATTTGCTGATTGTGCGTTTGGAGCGTGCTGATCAGATGACGCATTTCTCTGTTGATCGGTCCTGGAGACAAAGGACACAATTGAAAAGATACATAAACATTTACAACACATCTGCAACCTTACTAACTGAGAAATTACCTGCTTGTTCATTTGCAGCAAGTGTCTGCTCAAATTCTATTCTCAACATTTCATACTCTTTTCTGACTTGAGCCAAAGTATCTTCGAGTTGGAAAACTTCTGTGCGGACTTTTCTTTGCAAAGTGACTTCATCATTCTGTAAAAATACAATTTCACATAAGAATTGGCTACAAAGACAGCTAACTAGAAGTGGGAGATTAAAATCTATCAAGAAAGTATAATTTGTTTCCTTCAAGGTAAAAATTTTGATGGTCATGTAACTGAGGAAACCCACCAAAAGTATTATCTTAGATGTAGAATGGTTTATTACTACTTTGTTTTAAGCAATCAAGTATCACCATTGTTGTTTCAGAAATTAGACTATTATAGACTATATATAGTCTATAATAAAAAGCAAAAAAAAAATTGTATCAATATTTTTAGATTAAAATTATGTCAGTATAATGTAAATAAGGGATACTTGACTGCTGTAAATAATATTTTCTGTCAAAATGCAAAATCATGTAGTTGTAGATTCTTGCCTCCATGTGTTCCAGTTGGCGAAGTCGTGCAGTCCTGGTCGTGTTCAGTCTGGCTCTGGTCTCGTCTAGCTGAGCTTTGAGGGTCAGGGATTCGTTATAAAGGACAGAGAATTGGGACTGTAAACAGCGATATTCAGAGGACTCCTTAACCACCCCTTCTGCTCTAGTTAACAGCTCAGCCTGAGAAGGAACAAAAACATGTTTAATAAAAAGTGAATAACAAAGAGATCAGCAGGGACTGTGATAATGTAAAACATGAAAAAGTCTGTGGGCACTATTAATGACCCCAGCCATAGTGTGGAGATCTAGGTCCTTATAAATCAGTGAGGCTTAAGACTGCAGAATATACAGTAATAAAGGAGAAATCATAATTTGGGTTGATGCAATTTTCAAATCACAAAGGCTGCAATTACTTGATACATGAATGTCTTCCACAAAGAAAAAAAGATGGTTTAGACATGTACAATCAAGTAAAATGAAAATGTATCATTTCTAATATGTTAGTGGTTCTGAATTTGTTTACTGTGTGCACTCTGATTTTACATATTTACATATCGCAATAATTGTCAGAAAAATCACAATTAGATTTTTCCCTAAAATCACGCAGCCCCAGTGAGTCTTGTCTCCAAATACCTTCATGTTTGTGTTTTCTTGGAGAACATTCTCAAGGTCTTGTTGAAGCTTTTGAAGCTCAGTGAGACGATTATCAGCCAGTTCGCGGTTCTCCTCCAACTCACTGTTCATTTCTTCAAACTTATAAGAAAATAGATGATTAGTGCTCACCCAAAATCTTTGTGTAATTAGTTGATTAATTGATCATTAACCCACTTTTCTCTTATTGATGGTGATGGTTCCACAAACACTACTGGCCTCCCCACACACCTTATAACCTTTGCTGTTCACCTACAAAAGAGAACAGATTGGAAAGTATTCAGTTACATGTCTTACAAAATTTCTTCTTCCCAACATGGACACATTCATTCATACCCTCTCCTGTATTTCACTGAGATGGGCATTCAGCCTGTTCTCTCTGCGCCGAATCTTTTCCATGTCCCATTGAAGCTCCTCAATTAAAGTCTGCAACTCACCAACGCGCTGGTCTGCTTTGTTAGCAGCACGACCCAAAGACCGGGACTGAGAGACAAAACAAATACATCACATTTTGTATAACAGTGTATTAAAGTACCTATAACTTAAATCTGGGACACTGCTCACCTCACTAGTCATTTGACTGTGTTTCTGCTTCAGTTCTTCAGTCAGCTGCTGAAGACGCTCATTTTCACTGGTTAAGAGTGAGTTTAGTTTGGAGGCAACCTGCCACAAACTGCCCTCTGAGAAAACAGACACAAATAATGCATCATATTGCAGAAAATTGTAGAATATGACATGAACAGTTAAGACTAAACACATAACACCACCTGCTCCAGAATTCATTTCAGTTTGCATTTGGTCCAAAGTGTTCTTGAGAGCTTCATAAATCTCCACAACATGGTTTGCCAACTTCTGAGTTGACTCCAGCCTTTCCTGCAGTTCAGCCTCCATTTCTTCACTGCTGCTGCTAGCAAGTGTTGCCAGGAAGGAGTTTGTCGTCTCTCCCTGGTGACCTTAAGTAAAACACAAACACAGGAGTCAATATGTGTTCAAATAAACTGTACATTTGGTATCCTTCTCCTTTACCTCTGTCCTTGGCCCTTTCCTGATTTGAGTCTCCATCAGGTTCAGGAGTTTCAGGTTTCAAAGTTCGTCCTTCAGATCCTGGAGATTTCTCTGGTTCTGTGTTTGACTGATCGTATCGCCTGGTGATAAGCCGAATGTTTTCATCCAACTATAAGTAAAGAAAGGGAGGGCTGTAAGAGCAGTATATAGGTATATTTTGACAACATATTTATGACACAACATTTACCTGATTCCAGTATCGATTTAGTATCAAAAGGCTTGCATCGTCAGTTGCCTGGCGGGTCTCCAATCTCTCGATGCGCTCTCGTAATTCATCCTCAATAACCTTTGCAAGAGAAGTAAGGTATTTTGTGTAGGTCATCAATAACAAGGCAAAACAGCAGCTGCACAATATAATAATGCACAGAACAATATACCTGTCTCTGGTCCAGAGACTCCCCCAGTTTTCGGTTCTTTGCCTGGAGAGCTTTGATGTCCTGTTCCTCCTATAACACAAAATGCATGCCAACACAACACTGATGCAATGGGGAAAGTACTGCACTAGTACCAGGTAATGCAGCGATAATAAACAATGATTACCGAGTTGGACACTCCTCCCAGTTTGATCACGGTCTCCACTGCAGTGGACCCAGCAGCGCTGACTCCGGGGCTCCCGTCCTCTCCTTCTCGGGGACGTTTCTGTCCCGACATCCTCGTTCCTCTGCAAGTAAAACGAGATCTATGACTCGCCTAAGCCACAAAAGTTTCCCCACCAGTTCTTGCTTCCACCTGAGCTATTTTGAAGATGTTAGTCGTTTTCTGCTTCTAACGCGTTCAATAATATTTTATAAACAGAATTTGGTAACGTTGGGAGTCTGCGGTTTTAAGTTGATCGGACTAAAACGGACGTCAGTTGCTTCTTAAAGCGACGTTTGTGTCCTGCAAACAAAGAGCAGATTATACACCTTTCTGCAAATTATAAGCTCTTTTTACCGGTTTTTAAAACGTTGTTTTAATGCTTGTTTGCACTGAATGTGCAAAGATGTTGATGCTGCGGCGACAGGCTCCCGGAAACGGAAGCTTTGACTGTATTCCACTGTTCCACAAAACCAGAACAGCTCCATTCCGCCCTCTAGTGTCCTGGATGCTGAAAAAAGAAATCCCGATTGGGAACATGACCTGGAACCAAAACACTAAATTAACAAAACATCTTGACCATCCTCATCGTGACAAATGTTTGTTTCACTGCAAAATATCATTAGTAAATCAGCATTTTATTGTCTTTTATTAGGCTACTTATTATTTAGGTCTATAATCACTATTCAGTTGGGTCGTTATATCAATAAGCACAATGGAATCATAATTAAAACCAGTTTTGAGGGTTGATTTGTCTACATTTGTTTCCCAATTCAACAAAAGAGTTTAGATATATTTGCTATTATAGAATCATACTAGTAACTCAGAGGGCTGCAACTTTGTTGCAAAACTTGCTTGTTCCCACAATACTATAAGCCATGCTAAGATTCAAATTAGCTTAAATGTTAATTGGTATTGTCATTTACAAGTAGGGCCTTATGAACATGGTGGACCTCTGGTCAGCAATATTTAAATGTACTTTGAACAAAGGGCAAGGTTCATCTTGTGTAAAAGTTTACTTGTATCTCTGAGACTGCTGCAATTTTATCTGTTTGCGTCATAGCTGGTGTTTTGGAGGCTGTACAAAATCCCATTTGGCCTAAAACAATCAATGCCATGACGTGTAGGATTGGAACTTCTTATGTATTGGCATCCCATTTATTTGTATTTAAATAACCTATGCAAACAATAGTGTTTCGCTTGCACTGAACCTATTTTCATTCAGTCAAATAAATCCGTAATCATGTGTAGGCTACTTGAAATTCAGAAACCTGATTTGCAACTTCAACAATTTATCATTGTTTTGGGGTGTGAAACTTGATGCATGTTATGCATAGGCGTGGTGGTTTGAATAGGCCTACAGTACGTGCATGAATGCAGACCCCTTTAGCACATTTCGGATACATGCTGTTCTTCCCTATTTTAACCCTTGATATGTTAAACCAAAACTCCACAAAAAAGATTATTGATTCAGCCCTCCCCCGTTGTCGTAAACAGCCAATTGGGTTAGTAAGAAGACACACGCCCCGCCACATCGCCAGCAGCTCCTCCTTGCCTCCACTTCCCAATAAATACACCTCTGTATCCAACGATCGGTCTTCTCCACCAGGCCATAAGCTTTTGGGAGGCTGCACAGGCCGACTACAACCTCTTCTTGCTGTTTGACCATTGACCAACCCCCCAAGTAAGTATTTCCTATTGTTACGTGTTGCATTCCTTGGCTAGCTCCACATGCTTCTCTCAGAACTCTCATCAAACTTTACAAATAGGCTACTGGTGCAAACTCTGCACAAGTTTAGTGAAGAAACGGGGACACTCAGTAGTCTTTTGTAATTTTTTTGCATTTATGAATTAAAAAGTCTTACATTGTGGCACTGGATAAACTGGTTATTACACATCACTTATATTTTTGTTTTAAGGCCAAGTGAACTTGTGTTTAAGTTAGTTGCAAAGCTTTTGTTATGTTTTTTTAATAGCGTTTATTACATACATAGTTGAGAGAGATGTTTATCTCTGGAGCAAGGTTCATGCAGTTGACAAATAATAGACCTGTAGAGAAAGAAGGTGTGTCAGGAAAGACTTTTTTTCTATTGTGTTTTAGAGCAATACTAATATAAACAAATATATACATCTCCTTTACAATGTGCTTTTTTTTCAGAATGACTCACCAGTTCCCATCACTGTCTCCGACTCAGAAGAAGGAGCTCTCTGACATTGCTCAGAGAATTGTGGCCACAGGAAAGGGCATCCTGGCTGCAGATGAATCTACAGGTGAGCTCCTTTTTGTTATACTGGATGTTATATTTGAATGGACTGTCTAAAGTTGTATTGTCATGTTTAAGGCACCATGGGGAAGCGCCTCCAGAAAATCAATGTAGAAAACAATGAGGAGAACCGGCGCTGCTTCAGGGACATCCTTTTCTCCTGTGACGCAACCATGGCCAACAGTGTAGGCGGAGTCATCTTCTTCCACGAGACACTCTATCAGAAATCAGACTGCGGCAAACTCTTCCCCCAGGTCATCAAAGATAAGGGCATTGTAGTTGGCATCAAGGTATGAAAAGATAGATAATGCTGAGACCCATGTGTCTCATTTAGACATGTACTTACAGGGTTTTTGTCTCATAGGTGGACAAAGGCACAGCAGGGCTCAATGGGACAGATGGGGAAACCACCACACAAGGTAAATATACATTTTTGGTTTTTTTTACATAAATACATAAAATAAGTTTTATTCTTCAGAGCCTTATTTCAGGTCTGGATGGCCTCTCTGAGCGCTGTGCCCAGTACAAGAAGGACGGCTGTGACTTCGCTAAGTGGCGCTGCGTGCTCAAGATCTCAGATGGCTGCCCGTCTGCTCTGGCCATTGCAGAGAACGCCAATGTTCTTGCCAGATATGCCAGCATCTGCCAACAGGTTTGTTTTGTTTTATGTCCATGAGATATGTGGAATCATGTTGTGTACTTATAATATTTTAACCATTGTGCTTCCTCATAGAATGGTCTAGTGCCAATCGTAGAGCCAGAGATCCTCCCTGATGGAGAGCATGACCTTCAGCGCTGCCAGTATGTCACAGAAAAGGTGGGTTGTCCTTTTGTCAGTCTCACTTTTCATGTTTCATTTCTCACCTGTTGTTTTCATTTATCACTTAGGTTCTTGCTGCTGTGTACAAAGCTCTGTCTGATCACCATGTTTACCTGGAGGGCACGCTCCTAAAGCCCAACATGGTGACAGCAGGACACTCCTGTCCCAAGAAATTTACCCCTCAGGAGGTAGCCATGGCAACAGTCTCTGCTCTGAGGCGCACTGTTCCCGCTGCTGTGCCAGGTAAGCCTCAGTAACACTGCAGCGGGCACATGAGCAACATGGAGTACCATACTGTTTTCTTTTCTGTAGGAATCTGCTTCCTTTCTGGAGGACAGAGTGAAGAAGAAGCCTCTGTCCATCTGAACGCCATAAACCAGGTGCCCCTTCACCGTCCCTGGAAACTCACCTTCTCTTATGGCCGCGCTCTGCAGGCCTCTGCCCTCGCCGCCTGGCAGGGCAAGCCCGAGAATAAGGCTGCTGCTCAGGAAGCCTTCTGCACTAGGGCCAAAGTAAGTGTCTTCTAAATTTGGATATTAATAAACCTTAAATTACACATGAACAATTGCGTAGTGTTTTTTTATCAGACATTATGCAACACTTCTGGTGAATGATTTGTACTGAAGTTGTTTTGTCTTTTGGCTCCTGCACTTACACGCTCCTATGGCTAATCATTAACATGAGATGTGACTTTGCACTGACGTTCCTTCTGCTCTCTCAGATCAATGGTCTCGCCTCCAAAGGAGAGTACAAACCCAGCGGCTCAGCGGACCAGGCCTCCACACAATCTCTGTTCACAGAGAGCTATGTCTATTAAACCGCACACTACAAACACTGGATCACATGAACTGCACAATGGACCAAAATGTGACGACCAAAATGCTCATTCTTCCCTCACACTTCAAGGGAGATTGTTGCTTTCACTTTAAATTACTTTTGTCTACTTGTTAAAATAAAAATAAATTATGTAACTAATGTGTCTACATTGTGTCTTTAACAAGTTATAATCTTGCTGTGTAGTACTGATACCATTGCAGTTGTTTGACAACATGTTTGAAATGTTCAGTGAAGGTGGATCTGGGCACTGAAACATGAAAATTTTAATAACTGGAACATTATCACAGCACATCACAAACAGAGCAGTAATGTAATCAACACAATGATAAACATTCACAGTTAACACAGGTGCTTTCTGTTAAAATAGAAAATAAAAAAATATAAAAAGGCAACTTGTGTAAACATGAAGCGACACCCGTAATTAAGTGCATGTTACAAGCACTATAACTTTTTAAGTTATAGTAAAAAAAAAAAAAAAAATCATACAAATATAGAGATTAGTTTGATTTTGAAATATATTAGTTTTCATTAGTGGCTAGTAGTGCACTGCTGGGTGAAGATTATAATGAAGTAGCCAGTCCATTAATACTGTACTGATGTAAGATATACAGTATTAGGTCTCCTCTGTTGGTGTCTCGGTTACTGGTGGGGGGATCTGCTGAAGAATAATCTGAAATAAAAAAGCATTGTCAAAGGAATAATATAGTTTGCAGAGTTCAGTTGCTTTACGTTATTTTCCTCTTACTTGTGTGCGTGTTGACTTCAGAGCTAACCGAGCGACGATACACAAGAAAATGAGCAGCCCAAACACACACAAGGAGCTGAGAAAGAGCAGGACCTCAAGAGCAGTCAAAATTTCCTATAAAAAGAAAAAAAGAAAAAATATTAACACAACTAAACAGTAAAAAGTTGAATAATAATAACAACAGTGGCTTGTTACTTACTGCACTTTTTTCAAACCAGTGTATTTTGAAGTATCTGTATCTGTTATGTCCCATAACACTCATTGAGATGATTCTGTAGATGGAGGAGACAATGACTCCAATCAGGGAAACCACATACATACTCAGACACACTGTAATCTGAAAAATAAAAAGAAGAAACATTTCACATATTCAATGTGATTAACAGCATTATTTGACAGAAATGACCTGGATAAGAAACCCTTTAGACTACAGGACTATTTTTGTTAGGTTTCAGATGACAGACAACCAATAATATATAATACAAATGGAGACTGTTAAAATAAATATTAAAATGCAGTTTGTTGTATTACAAGAACTTAACCCTCTAGTCATTAACAGAAATCATCTGGTCAAACTGGTGTACTTAACTTTTATATATTTCACGGCAAAGAACAATGTCTTCAATAGGGAAATTTGGCCCTTGCCTCCTATCTGGGAGTATGGCATCATCACATTCTAAAATCTAAAAAAACACCAATGGTCCATTACCTCAGAGGACATGTAACTATGGAGGCTACTTACCATCTTCTTGGAAGGATGTATCCCAGTGTAAATGGACAGAATTCCACAGATAATAAACTAGGAATACAAAGTGCAAGGACATGTCATCATCTTCATCAGCATCATAAATTAAAATGGTATAGTGGCAATTTCAACCCAAACCAACCTTAATTTCTCATCCCTGGTGAATATAACACAAAACTAAAATAGCAGAAATAGCTTCTACACTGTTAAAATGATCATTACTTAAAGGTACACTCCCCAACTTTTGGTGGTGGGTACGCGACCTACTCGTCTCCATGGAGATGTTATCACTTGGCATGGAATGTTTCAAGGCATGACTAAACATATATATATATCTAGCATTTATTAATTACTGGTGCTTCTATTGCTCAAAAATACAATAACTACTTCTGTGAATAAGGGCGACTCTCCACAGATCTGAGTTGAAATATTGCGTAGTGCTGCTACGTGCTTGTGATGGTTTAATTTGTTCTGTGGAACATTCTGGACAAAGCAATAAGATTTCCATAAAGACAAGTAGGTGGTGGACCCTCCACTTGAAATGTGCATCTTTAAGACCCAATTTCAACAATGTTATCTCTAATATCTTATACCCGTTATTATCCGTATTATATGGTCTATAACTACAGGCATAGGCTATAGTTCTTCAACTACCAGAGCTCCTTGCCAGTAGGGAGTATAGATGTAACTGGAGGTGGTGAGCCTATCCCCATCACCAGCCAACAGAAACCCAAAGAGGACCTCTGCGCATCCAAACATCAAAAGGACAACCTGAAAAACAGGAGTGAGACAGTCACGTGACATCGCTCTGGCATTGGGGTGTGATCTGCCGAGTCTATGGGCTCGTGCATCCTGCCTACCCCGAGACTTTTGGGGTCTCTTTGGACAAAGCGGTGCAAAGGCTTCGTGGTCAATAACTCCGTTCTGTCTGCGTCCCCCTGCTTCCCCTGCGCAGTATTTCGAGATCGGACTCCACTGTCCTCCATTGCCACAAAACTACAAACACGTTTTATCAGTAAGTCTGGACACAGTTGTATGATGTTTACGGATACGAATACAACGTAGAAAAGTTTATGTTGAACACTCACCTTGTTTATTCTGCTTGTTTATTGAAGGATGACAGCGGGGAACGTTTGGAAAGGAAGTCTGAAGAGGAAGTTGGGAAATTTGAGATAACTTCAGAGGAGGGGCAGTAATAACGCGACATTCAAAATGGAGACCTCATTTAAACTTCCACTTAGCTGAGTCAGATCCATGGTCAGTATTGGTTGTAAGATGCAAAATACACATAGGAGTAGGGCCACTTTTATTTCATTAAGTGTTATGTTGTGTACACACAACAAGGTATGAGTGCTTAAAAATATAAAGGCATCTTATACAAAATGCAAAGTTTGATATACACATTCAGACATTAAAAGGCCTAACTACACAATACCCCAATAGTTCACATGCAAACTTATATACAAATGTCATATTTAAGTATTTCTGTACAAGTTAAAAATTTATTCATTTAATCCAGAAACAAAATGTTAAAAACTTGTGTCAATTGCATCAATGACAATAGCATAATTTGTGTTCAAGGAGATACAGTGCTCTTTGACGCAGCTCTCTTTCATTGTTGTACTGCAGGGCTTCTATCGTTAAAAGTCCACCCTGCTTTACAAATTCCTCTGCAACCTGAAAGCAAAACATTATGTAAACAACTGCACAATTCAATTAAATTTTCACAATATTCAGCATTATATATGGTCATACACACCTATGTAACATATACATATGCATATTTACACACTCATGCGCCATACATACGACATACACAAGTGTGTACTGTACATATACATTCTTTATGCATGCCAGTATGTAACACTGAAAACCATGGACACCCAAGGAAGCAGTGTAAGCTTATAGAATGGGGTCCATCACCACAGTACGAGCAAAACAATTTTATAATAGAAAGTAAATAAACAAAACAGACAAAGAAAAAAAAAAATTAATAACAACAACAATAATAATTTCATTAAATAAAAAGTAATAAGTAATGCAACCAAACGATGTTAATGTGTTTGTTTACATTATTATAGTTACCTCTAAGTTATCATCAATCAGCATATACAGAACATCCAGACTTAAGACCACCATTTCTGTCTCAGCCATTTTGAGAGTGGCACAGAGAGCAGACAGAAGTCCAAGATGCACAAGCTGAACACAAAAGGCCTTCTTTTGGTGAGCAACGTTTGCAAGCACTCTGAGGATCTGGACAGAAACAAGGGACATTACAAAGCACGTATGAGACATCAAGATACAGATATGAGTAGTATGGGTACTGAAAACAGACATACCATAGTATTGATGCCTTGAGAGAAAGGAAGAAGCTGGATGAGACAAGGGACCAGGTTCAGTGTTAGAAGCGCTGAGCACAAGTCAGCTGAGTGAGCTATAGAATAGACACCAAGTTAAATGTCACATTCCTTAATTAAAAAAAAAAGTGTCAAATCAAAACAGAAATGACAAAGAATCAAATATAGTCATAACCTACATAGCAACGCTAGAAAATATTATGTTAAGTATATTATATTATTCCATTATGAAACCGCAATAAAGTAAGGCTAAAGCAAAAGCTCATGATCACAAACTTGTATTTATTCACAGGGGGAAATTTTAGACTACATATTGTAAAACAATTGCAATGTTACATCTATGTAATGTCTGTATACATTTCTTTACATAAAACAATGGTGAAGACATCACCTGTGAGATTATTGAGTACCCAGGCTGCCTCTCGGGCCAGTGCGGGCTGTATCTTCAGGTAACCATTAAGAAGAGCACACAGAGCAGCCGGGAGATGGACATCCACCTGTCCACTCAGGTGCTCCGCGGAACAGGAAGACAAAAGGTTTCCCACACAACGTAGGAGGGGCCACACCACCTGCAGGGACACAGTAACAAAAAAAACATTGCATACTTTTAAAACTACATTTAACTTTTGCCAACTATTCCACACAAACTCTAATTATAATAATCTAATAATTTTGTGTGATCCTGTTCACTTGTGTTAATACCAAGTACTTGTATTGTCCAATATTTCAGACATTCACAAGCCTCTGCTGTTGGCACATATTTCCTTGTATAATTTGAGCATCAAATTTCAGCCATTCATTCATTCATTCTGGTAAAATATGGTTACAATAAGATAAGTTAAAACACTGTTAAATATAACATAAGATATGCCACAACACAATAAAAATCATGTTTAGAACTAGTATAGAGCTGAGTAATGTTTGTTTATTCTCTCCTCTGAAAAAAAAAGCTTCACAAAAGGGACAGTCTACCAATTCCAGTCCTTCATCTTTCTTTTCTTCAGCAACAGAGCCACCTATTGATACCAACAGGGAACTGCATTTTGAGAGAGCCCCGTGAGACAAGAAAACGCTGCAATTGCCAGGAGTGCTGTGCGAAAGATAAAAGAAAAATATAATAGATGGTAAAGCTGCAGGTGATAGGGAATAAAAGTGTGCACTGAAATTGTTAAACCATTTTTACCTGCTAATAAGATAATGCAGAGACCAGGCACATTCAATCATCGGAGCCAAACCAAACTTTGGGTCAGGAGAAGAGAGAACTGAACACAAGAGTAAAGGAAGCCGTGAAGCTGTGACAATCCTAAAAACAAGCAGGCGAATAAACAAATATTATTTATGAGTAGTACAAAAAGGTAAGGACAATAATTTTACTTTTAAGTTCTTACAGTGTAACTTTCTCTGCTGCTTTTGTACCTTGCAACAGCTGAGAGAGTGTGAATCCAACAGCTTCTACCAAAGCCAAGTTATGCATCTGTGTCTGGGAACAGAAAGTAAATATAGTGAGTCATGCCGACAAAAAACTATAGACTTACAATAAATACCAAAGTGTTACTGATAGTAGCAGCAGTTCATAATTTCATTCACACATGCCACAACAAAGAACCTTGCAATACCAAACAGTGATTCGGTTTAGTATAGGTAACCAAGATTAGCAAACTGTGTCGAATTGTTTTCGAGAAACTAGCTGCTCCAACTATTTTTTATAAAAGCTACATGGAAATGGTGGCAAGATGATTCAATATCAGTCAGTTGATTTATGATGTTATTTTCACAATTCTGACATTTTTCCTTTTCAGTTTGTTTGTAAAAGCATATGCATGTTAAAAATGTTACCTCTAAACAGTTTGTCAGAGCAGGTATTATTCCCTGAGAAAGCAGCTTCTCCTTCACAGCATCATTTTCAGGACACAAATTTCCCAACGTGTAAAGACACAGCTCCTGTTCAGAAACACAGCACATCACAAAGCACTTTTAAAATGACAAATAAATAAAAAAATATGATAAATGAAAACATAACAATACCACTTCAAATGTTCCTGTCAGTAAAAAGCATCTCACACAGATTATCACAAAAGTAGGCCTGTCCCGATAATTACTAGATCAACTTATTTTTGAATGCATGACAGATGGAACAATCATTTTTGGGGGTCAATATTTGTCGTGGTACTTTGTCTTTGCACTAGTGGGAAACATTTTGTTATTTTTTGTTCTACAATTAGGTTTGAGCTGTAGAGGGTTAAATTAATCAATTCTGTACAAACGTGTGCAAAGTGTTTCATTCTGTTTTTTTACATTTACAATTGAATGGAAGAGAGTTGAATGTTAAGCACTTGATGTACTTGGCGGGCTCTTACAGTAAACTTGGTACTCTGTCCAGATAAGTACGTGAGCAGGTATGAGGTTGCCGGGAGACAGGCCAAAGCGACAGCGCTGTGCGGGGAGTGGGACAGTTCATGAAGACAGCGCACAGCCAGAAGACGGCACTCAGAGTTGGAGCCTGTGAGGAGGCCCACCAGCAGATGCATGCTATTCTCCAACCTAAAAAAAAAAACAACAACAAATCAAATTATGTATATAAATTAGGGCCGGGCACGTTAACGCATTAACTTTGCGTTAACTAATTAAGTCATTAACGCCGACAACTATTTTAACGCCGTTAACGCAGTTTTTATTATTTATTTATTTATTTTATTGTAAACGTCTGTTTCTCACTGGCTTTTATTTTGAAAGAGTCCACCGCGAGCGTTTCTTTAAGTTTGACGTCTTTTCTTGATACTTTTTTCACTTTTTTCTGACCACGTGAGATGCAACGTGCCCGAGCCTCCGCGAGCCGCGGGGCTCGCCGCGGACTCAGCCGCGGGTTCAGCCGCGGGCACCGGCTCTGGCCGGACTAGCCGTGTGCTCTGAGCTGAGCTTATTTCTTTAGTTCAGTGCTGGAGTAACTGATTTACCCAGATACCATTGGAAGAAAAAATGTGATTGGTCCATTTCCATTCCATTATATTAACCCTTTGTTTCCTAAGAAATATCAGTCCAAGTTTATATCACTGATCTAGAAATTATTACTAGTGTAGTGTTCTTTACTCACAGCATAAAAATATTCAATAAATATATTAGTAGTACAAACGTCCATTCAATATTTTTTCTTGAGCCTTCCCTGAATACCTTGAAGGCTCTGAGGTTCCCCTGTGAAAGAAATGCTGTTTGCACAACAAATGTATGGCTCTTTCATTTACATTTCCAATAAAAGAGCGCTATACTCTACTTTTTAATTCATTAATTGGTTTTGCTTTTAGCTTTTGATTAAATTCTTATACTTTTACCTGTTTCTATTGTACACATTTTAGTATATTTATTTATTTTAGGCATATTTTTTAGGATTTCCAGTGTTTCCTCTGTAGGAGCCTCTGCATCGGGAGCGGAGGTCGGCTGTGGCTGCCGGGTTCTGTCCCGTGGGCTCCTGGTGGAGAGTTGGTGCTTGGGCTTCATCTCTCCCCTGGACCCTGTGGTGGTTCCTGGTGATGGTGGACGACTCTCTGCTCCTGATGTAGACGGCTCCTCTGATGGTGCTTTCTCAACTGGTTCGCCTGTATTCAGCCTCACATTTTACTATAGGGAATTTTATGTATTTTACTATCTTAGGGCGTGTGTGCGTGTGTGTGTGTGTGTGTGTGTGTGTGTGTGTGTGTGCATGTGTGTGCGAGTGGGTGTGCGTGTCTGGGTTGTTTGGTTGTGTGGAGTTGGGCAGGTGTGGGGTTGGATAAGTGGGTGGGTGGATGGAAATGCGGGATTGTTTTTAATCACTGTAAAGCACTTTGTGTTACGTTTTTGTATGAAAAGCGCTTTATAAATAAAGTTTGATTGATTGATTGATTTTGCGTATAACATGTGATTAATCGAGATTAAATTTTTTAAATTTTTGCCCAGCCCTAATATAAATAATTAGTCAGGTAGAGCGTATCCATATTTTTTGTTCCACGTATTTGACTATTGTCTGTCATTACTTTACACTGTATTATACTGTATTATTGTTAACATAATTTTATGTATGCATTTTATACATACTCTGGACCTAGCTGAATACACTACAGTATATAAAGTTATTTAAATTTTGCCATTTACATCAACATATTGTTTTGTTGTTGTGTACTCTAATAACTAATAACAATTATTTAGCAGTCCTGTTATCTAGACACAATTAAAACAGGGCAGATATAAAACAAAAATAAACTAAAGCACCAGGATGAACCAAAATAAGTCTTCAAAGAGAAATATTTTTACTTGATGAATGTAGTCTGCGCTGATGGGTCATGCAGGGCTCTACTCAAAGCTTTCAAGAAGGATTCTTTCTCTGTACCACATTTCTGAAGATGGTGAAACAAACCAACCACGTCCTGCAGAAGACATCAGGTGTGTATTGTATTATATAATCAAAATCAGAGATGAATGAATGAGTATTTACTTACCTGTTCTTCTGTGTTGTGCTCCTCATCTTCATTGTGCAGGAGTCTCTTGCTGAACAGATGTTTGTCTCTGCGGGCCTGTCTCAAAGCTACAGTGCACACACAGGATTGCTTCCATTAGGGCTGCTCAAGTATGACAAACATATATTTATGATTATTTGGATCATAAAAGCCTAAGCCATATATCAGAATAGGTCACACATATGCAATAAAAGCTTACACATGTACTACTTTTCCTTGCACATGCACATGAAAAGTTTACGCCTACACCACATTTTCTTGCACATGCTAATGAATAGCTTGCACATAAACCATTTTTGACTTGCACATCCACGTCAAAAGCTCACACATATACTACATTTACGTCACACATACACCACTTTTGTCTTGCACATGCACAATCAAAAACTATACACATACATAACCAGTGACTGGTCACAACTGAAATTATAACAATTTCAAACGACTACTTATATACTGTTAAAAATAATCTGAAGAGAAAATACAGTCCTAATAAATTGCATTAGTAATGTTTTGTGACACAACTGTGTTGCAAATTAGAGAAGTGGCCCCTGTATTTTAGTTTTACTCCAGGTTTTGCAGCGTTATAAGTATATATTATATGAGCAGATGTTCCATAACCATTGAAGTTGCAATTATAAATTCGATTAATTACAAAATCCTAGCTTTCATTCATAAAATATTAACACATGACACACATGATATGAACATTTCTGTTACCTTTCTCCTGCTCTCTCCTCTTCAGTCTGAGCTGGTCCGGGTTGTCAGGCCGACTGGATTTGTGGCAAACTTTGCTCAGCCGCCACATTGGGTTATTTATGCGTTTACAAATAAATAATAAGGCAGTGAAATCGGACGCATCTTTACTCTAAAATTCTAAGTGATCTTTTTAAAAACATGTCTGAAATTAACATCACGAATCAACATCCTGCAAGCACCTAGTTGAGTTGCTCTTCTTCAATGATAGAGTTATACGTGTGTAATCACAGCGCCCCCTAGCTATCGTAACATGTCATGATTTATTAAAATGCTCACATCAAACGTCAAAGTATATTTTCTTTATTTTTTAATAACATGACAAATTGTCTCACTTAAAATTTAAACTTGATATGTGGGCATCATAGACAGTACATATATTCTTTATTCAGTCAGTGAATAAATTTATGTGAAAAGTGAATAAACTTATGTGATGGAAATTTGATGGAAAATATTTCTCTAAATGAATGTAATTTCTACCTGAGACCAAACCAGTCATTAAAATGTGCAAAGGCTCAGCAGACACAACTGTCTCCACTTACTCCTCTTACTACCTAAGACCTAAGTCTGTGAAACAATGCTTTGATATGTACAGTATGTATGTATAAATACTCAGAGCTCAGATGCTCTGTGGGGAGATGGAGAGAAGGAGAGGCTGTTGGTCCCTGACCAGGGAAGGCCTAGGCCATGTCCATATCTGCTATACCAATAATAAACCTTTGTCTGTATTCTAAAAAGTCAAAAGGCTTCGCAAATTGATTCATTATTTATCATCAAGAGATACATAATTTTTTCCACAACACTTATTTGTACGCTGATCCAATTTTTTGTTGCTTTTACACACTAGTATCACATGATTTTTTTTATCATGTAAGATCTTGATTTGGGAAAAATACTGTTCATTTATAAAACAAAATATATAAAAAACTGTACATGTTAGGGCACTCAGTAAAAGGAATAAAAATCTCAACAAATACAGAGATACATAAAAATGTACCACAGTAATACCACTCTCTACATTCAATAAAAAAGATGCACAACTCATCTGGATGGAGTTCAAATTGCGTTAACTTTCTGTTTCTTTGCTCTTGGAGGATGTTTTCTTTTTCTGTAAAAAAAACAAAAAAACAATCAGACATGGCAAATTAATACAAAACTCATGACTACATAATTTCCCAAATGAACCTGTTACCTTTTTTGGAGTCTCACTTTCTTGCATCTGTGACACAGCATCTGCCTCAGTGAGCTCCTTGATTTTTAACTTGTGCTTTTCTGAAATAATAAATAGAAATTGGGCTTTTTTAGACACTTAAAATATTTAGTCTTTGGCTAATTCTGTAGCACACTTTCACAGGTATAATAATTCTATATCATTGGGAAATATTACAATCAGGGTGCACCGATCCAATACTGGTACCTGATATCAACACAGATACTGAAAAATTAGCTAGATCGCATATCGGCCTCCAGATATTGGTTCAGTCAATATTACGGTTGGAATAAGACTAGTTATTGGTTGTACTCTGCCCAGGGAGTCTCATAACATTTGACTTTTTAATTATACAAAGCTGTTAGGTAGTTTCTTGTTTGTTTCTTGTTTTCAAGGAAATAAATTAGGTTTTCAGTCTCTGCACTGGTATATCAGGTATCAGCAGATAAGCTATAGTATCGGAATCGGTATCGGAATTGAAAAAGCTCAGTGCATCCCCAATTACAATATACAGAATTGTGAACTCACTTTTCTTTGAGCCTGGTGTCTGTGGAGTGGACATGACATCTGGAGTTTCTTCGGGCACTTTTCCATTGCTGTCCAGAGTCACTGGTGTTTTGACTTGTTCTCCCTCTGTTTCCAAATGTTCTTCACCCTCCTTTTTCTTCTTTTTGGATTTCTTTTTCACTATTATTTGCTGAGTTTCCTCAACATCAACAGTCTCTGCAATAACATTTTCCTGCTGTAAAGTCTCTAATTCCTCCTTGTCTTTGTCTTTTTTCTTCTTCTTCTTTTTAGGGACTGTTTCTACTGTGTCCTGACCGGATTCTACTGCAGCTTTCTCACAAGTTCCTTCATTGGTTAGAGCGTTGAGCTTTGCTTCAGTAACTGCTTGCTCCCCATTCTCTTTTGTTTTGTCCTTTTTCTTTTTCTTCTTTTTTGCCTTCTCTATAGACTCAGCATTAGAAGTGTTTAGTGAACTAATCAAGTCATCTGTTTCCAGGTTACCATTTATATCCTCTACTGTATTTATTTCAACATTTTGATCCACTAACACATCTACAGTTACTTTATCTTCCCCTTCAATTTTCTTATTTTTCTTCTTGGGCTCAGGTTGAATATTGGAAGATTTTTCTGCACTTCCCTCTGTTAGTTCAATTGTTGGATTGCTTGATATAGCAACTTCAATATTGTCTACATTTTTGTCAGCATCTCCTTCAGAAGCATTTGCAGTGACCTTACTTGGAGTGGCATCCTTCTTCTTTTTCTTTTTTGACTCAGTTTGAAGATTGGATGCTTTTTCTGGACTTCCCTCTGGTAGTTTAACTGTTGTTTGATCGCTTGTGTTAACATCTTTTTTATTGTCTACATGTTTGTCAATTACAGCATCTCTGTCTGAGGCTTTTGCAGTGACCTTACTGTGAGTAGCATCCTTCTTTTTCTTTTTTGACTCAGTTTGGAGACTGGACATTTTTTCTGGACTTCCCTCTTTTAATTTAATTGTTGTTTGATTGCTTGTTTGATCATTTTTATTATAGTCTGCATTTTTGTTAATTTCTCCATCTGTAGCATTTGCTGTAACCTTATTTTGAGTTGTATCCCTCTTTTTCGTCTTACTCCCAGTTTGATCATTCGTTGTGTTTTGTTGACTTCCCTTTGTTAGTCTGAGTTCAGTTGAATGAGGTGTTTTAGCATCTTTTTCTAAATTTTTGTCAATAATTCTATCTGTAGCATTTACAATAGCATTATCTACAGTTGCAGTTTTCTTCTTTTTCTGTTTAGGCTCAGTTGTAGCTTGGTCTGTAGTAGCTTTCCTTTTCTCTTTTTTAGGGCTCTGTCTTGTTGTTGAAATCACATTTGCACTTTTAGCCGTTTTGTCCTCTGTAGTTTTATCAGATGTTTTACTCAGTTGCTCCTGTTTGCCAGTGGGAGTTTCTGTTTTGGGGTTTGGTTTGGCTCGAGGCTTTCTCACCCTCGGTTTTTTGGGTTCAGGATCAACCAGGGCATTTAAGGCTTCCACTTTAGCCAGGTCAGCATCTGCATGAAGAAAATAAATTACCCAATATAATCTGCCAAAAACATTTACAGCAATAGATGAAACGGTTAGTTTTGGCTAATGATGCAATCTTGTTGTATTTAATCTAACATGATTTATGTGAACGCTGCATCACATGCCACAGAAACCTGGAGAAACAGGTTTCACAGCATTATTATGCTGTGTAAACAAATAAAGATTGTATTAAGCAAAATATTAGTAGATATTATATTAGAGTTCTTGTTCACACAAAAGTATATTATAATGACTTGTATGTATTCATTGGTAGTAGTAGTGACCGAGCAGTCAGAATCAATTTATTTATATTGTTTTGGCTAATGTATATGTACAGCAGTTTGGTACAGTTTAGGTCATGTAAATGCAAAATGACCAGTGTAAATGATCAAGATTAAAAATATCACTGTATCTAACATAGGGCGGGGCAACTGACTTCTATTTATTTATTTATTTTTTCTGACTTGACTTGACTTCTTGATGATTAGACTTAACTGAATCCCGAGCTCATTTAAAATCTGATTAAATTACTGCAAATGATACTGACATGTTTTCCCTTATCCAATGCGTCTCCGGTACTTGCCAAATGAAAAACTCCACACTACTGTACCTGTCATCTGCTCAACAAGTCTCTTCCACTTCTCCACGTCCAAACTGCTGTCCGAGTCAGAGTCCTCCCCTCCCTTCATCTTCTTTCTTTGGACCTTTTGATGTACTGGATTTGACTAATTTTTCTGCTGCATTTCCATCACCATTTTTCTGCTTTGTTGTAGACAAAGAGCACATTTTCAGCCATTATGCACAAAATATGCTTTTGAAGGCTAAAGCAAAAGTTTTAATTTTTACCTTTTTATTTGGTGATCCTGCCTGTTTAGTAGTTTTGCCTGTCTTTTTCTTCTGTGGATTTGCTGCATAAACAGTACATCAGATTGAAGAAGAAGTTACTTAGACTGCCAGCTGTGGACAGGTTTGTGTTCCTTAGCAGACTAGAATAAATCATATAAGCTTTGCACTAGCATGGTCTATGGAATTGTAGCCAATAGCTGATGTTAGCAATGTAGCAATGTTAGCAATGTTTTATTTATAGGTAAAATAATTAAATAGCAGCAATAAAAGCTAAACCTGTAAGCTAAACCTTGAAGTTCAAATAAATGTTTAGTTGTATGAATAAAATCTGGTAAGAGTCCCCAGTAACATAAAAAAATTGTATTCCAAACTTGTATTTTTAAAAAAGTCAATTATGACAGAACAATGTGTCACACCTTTATTGGGTGTTGTTTGTTTCTTGTCTGGAGCAGAGCGCTTTGACGTCGCAGACTTTGTTTTTCGTTTTGAAGACCTGTGATTGAAACAAAAACAATAAATCCAAGATAGCAAACAACTATATCAATAGTTTTGCACATTTATACCCACTTTAACCATGAACTATAGACGTCCTGTAACGTTGTGGATGTTGGTGCCTCACTCTAAGAGATTTAATAACAACAACAACAACAACAAAACAATTAGCAGCTGCACAAACTTTTTAAATAATAAATGAACAACAATTAAATAATGATAATAATAATACATTATTCACTTTGTTATGCGGTGCATGGAGGATTACTTTCAGTCAAGTCTAATCTGTAGGATTATACTTAATGTATAGTTTAGTAAAGGTGATGATGCGTTTGTAATTACTGTGAAACAAGCTTGACGTCAGTCTAAGTGACATTATGAGAGTTGAAACTCTCTCATAATGTCACTAAACTGTATTCTGATTACAAAGAGCAAAACAAACACTTCAGTTTTGTGTTAAGTTCTTTTGTTGTTCTTGTACAGCAACTTGCCTGCATACATGGTCAAAGGAAGTATTATATATATGGGAAGTATACTATAGTACGTACAACTTTGCATAGCGCTTGTTCACATGTAGTAACTTGAGCAGTCGAGTGGGTGCTGACCTGTAGGCTGTGCTTCTGTAGCTCCTCTGCAGCCGTGTGGAAGCCATGCTCCTTCAGGTGGCGATAGATCAACGTGATCAGCTCTGGGGTTGAGGCGGTCATATCGTACAAATAGGAGGAAAATAAAATCACCTAAAAATAACGAATAAATTAGGTTTCATAGTCAAATCTAGTATTTACAAAGCAGAGGCACACCTTCCCTAAAAACACACATGGCCAAACTTTGAACTCTGAACTCCGGAAGTAAATTACAGACTGTCTACAGCAAGGCACCGTGGGAGTTGGAGTCCAAGAAAATCACTACACGCAAAGCTGAAACTGATCATGCTTACAAAGGGCAGAAGGTATGGTACAATATGAAGTAAAAAAAAAAAAAAAACACGATCAAACCATTGTATGCATTTGTACTTGTACTTTTTTTTTTTTTTTTTTTAAAACCAAACATAGGCAAGGCAAGTTTATTTGTATAGCACAATTCGTACACAAAGTAATTCAAAGTGCTTTACAGAATAAGAAATACATTAAAATCATAATAAAAACAAATCAAAACATAAATAATCATGAATATTAAAATAAAAAAAGAGAGACATAAATTGGAGAGAAGAGTGCGGAATGAAAACCTTTCAGTTATATGCACAGTCAAACAGAAATGTTTTGAACCTGGATTTAAACAGCGTCACAGAAGAGTCTGTCTCACATGTTCAGACTGTTCCAGGTTTTAGCTGCATGAATTGAAACGCTGACTCCCCTTGTTTAGTCCTGACTCTGGGCACCAGCAGGAGGCCGGTCCCTGAGGTCCTCAGAGTGTGAGATGGTTCATATGACACTAACATGTCACAGATGTACTTTGGTGCTCGACCATGGAGAGACTTGTACACAAGCAGAGCTGCTTTAAAGTCTATTCTCTGAGGCACAGGAAGCCAGTGCAGAGACCTGAGTACAGGACTTATGTGCTCGTACTTCCTAGTTCGAGTAAGGACCCGAGCTGCAGCGTTCTGGATGTTCAAATCAAAATCAAATCAAACTTTATTTATAAAGCACTTTTCATACAAAATGCAACACAAAGTGCTTTACAGTGATTAAAAACAGTCCCGCATTTCCAACCACCCAACCACCCACCCACCAACCCAACCCCCGCACCCCCAACCCCACATAGTCAAACAACCCAAACACACACACACACACACTCACACTCACACGCTAAAATACATAACCAGACACAATAAAATGTGAGGCTGAATACAGGCGAACCAGTTGAGAAAGCAGAGAGACGTCCACCACCACCAGGAACCACCACAGGGTCCAGGGGAGAGATGAAGCCCAGGCACCTGAGGCCCAAGCACCATCCCTCCACCAGGAGCCCACATGACAGACCCAGCAGCCACAGCTGACCTCCACTCCCGATGCAGAGGGCTCCTACAGAGGAGACACTGGAAATCCTAAAAAATATGCCTAAGATAAATAAATATAATAAAATGTGTACAATAAAAACAAGTAAAAGTATAAGATTTCAATCAAAAGCTAAGCTAAAAAGGTGGGTCTTGAGCCTGCTCTTAAAATGATTATATGTTCTGCAGCTGTTTCACAGCTCGTTTGGAGAGACCAGTGAGCAGACCATTACAGTAGTCTAATCTACTGGAGACAAACGCATGGATAAGTTTCTCAAAGTCTGCTTTAGACAGTAAACCTTTGATTTTTGCTGTGTTTTTTAGATGGTAAAAGGCTGCAGATGTTATTGATTTGATGTGGCTGTTAAAGTTCAAGTCTGAGTCCATTATTACCCCTAGATTTCTTGCCTGATTTGAAGGTTTTAAAGAGAGAGACCGGAGGTGACTGCTGACACTGTCCCTTTGTTTCTGTGGACCAAACACTATGACTTCAGTCTTGTCAGAGTTTAGCTGGAGAAAGTTGTTTTGCATCCACACACTGATCTGTTGGATGCAGTGACCAAGTGAGTCCACTGGTCCATAGTCTCCTGCTGCCAGAGAGACGTAGATCTGAGTGTCGTCTGCATAATTGTGGTAGGACACGTTATTGCTGCTTATTAACTGGCCTAATGGCAGCATGTAGAGATTGAACAACAGGGGGCCCAGGATTGACCCCTGAGGCACCCCACAGGTCAGGGCCATGTGATCTGAGACACAGTTTCCAATTTCAACAAAATACTTCCTGTCTTCTAGATAGGACTTGAACCAGTTTAGTACAGTACCAGAGATGCCCACCCAGTCCTCTAGTCTCTGTAAGAGGATCCCATGATCGACAGTGTCAAAAGCAGCACTCAGATCTAACAGGATCAAGACTGAGACTTTGCCTGCATCAGTGTTCAGGCGGATGTCATTTGTCACCTTGATAAGAGCAGTCTCAGTGCTGTGGTGGGCTCTAAAACCTGACTGGAAAACATCAAAAGAGTTGTTCATTTGGAGAAAGTTCGTAAGCTGTTGGTAAACAGCTTTTTCAAGGACTTTGCCAAAAAACGGCAGATTTGAGATGGGTCGGAAATTGTTCAGTACTGTGGCATCAAGACTGCTCTTCTTTAGGAGAGGCTTAATGACCGCAGTTTTCAATGCATTTGGGAATGTTCCAGATTGAAGTGACATGTTAACTATGTGAGTGAGTGGTGAAAGTAAACTGTTGAGGACGGACTTTAGAAATCTAGTGGGTAACATGTCTAGGCAGCAAGTAGATGAACTCAGACTGGTAACGATCTCTAAAACAGTTTTGTCAGTTACAGGTGCAAAATGATTCAGCTCTAAGTGTCTCTGTGGCTGCATGCTTGTTATTTGTGTTGTGGAATTTATGTCATTTTTGATGCCCTGAACTTTGTCATTAAAGAAAACTGCAAACTCATTACATTTAGATGTGGAAATTAGTTCTAGTGGCAGTGGAGCTGGAGGGTTTGTTAATCTGTTCACTGTTGCAAACAGGACACGAGAGTTGCAATTACCAATAATGTCCGAAAAATACTTCTCTCTTGTTTTACTCAAAGTGTAGTTGTACATATGCATTGTTCCTCTGTAAATCTCATAATGAACCTGGAGGTTTGACTTGCGCCATTTCCGCTCAGCCTTCCAGCACTCCCTTTTCTGTGCTCTGACTGAGTCATCATTCCTCCACGGAGCTTTTTGCCTATCTTTAACCATTTTAACCTTTATCGGGGCGATGGCATCCAGAACATTTAAAACACTCAAAGTCACAGAGTTCAACACATCATCAACATTAGAACAGGAGGCAATTTCAAAATTGATCATTTCCATGAACAGTGCACCTGTACAACTGTAGGAGCAGCCGGTGGTTTGGGAATAACAGACAGGTCAAAGAAGACACAGAAATGATCAGACAGAGCAACATCAACCACATTGACATTTGAAATATTTACACCCTTTGTAATGAGCAGGTCCAGAGTGTGCCCTCTGTTGTGAGTGGGCTCACTGACATGCTGAGTCAGACCAAAAGTTTCAAGGACAACACTAAGCTCTTTGGCATTTTTGTCACACATTATCCACATGTACATTAAAATCACCTGTAATGACTAAACCATCAAAGTCTGTGCAAACAACTGAAAGCATCTCAGTAAAATCATCAATAAAACATAATGCATAATAGAAAACGTAATATTTGTTCATTTTTATCATATCAATGAGTTATCTCTTTTTGTAACTAGCTAACCTTTAGTTATAATTTAGGCTAAATAAAATATACTCTATAATCAGTTGAGTGTTCTTTATAATGGGCTTGGTTTTAGTTTTTAAGCCTGGCACTGTGCCCATTCATCCAAAATAATAAATAAAGAAAGAAGGAAAGAAATAAGCAAACTTGTATAAAGGATAAAGAAAGTAAAAGGTTATTGCAATGGACTTTACTCTAAAATACATCAAGTCGGTCCCAACTGGGCACCCACTTTGGGTTAGAATAAGACGCTAACACTAATGTAAACTGATTTATAAATACCCCTGACATGAAACTCTGAAAGGGTAAAACTGGTTGTAGATTAGTTAATTTGGCTCTTGGGGATTTGCAGTAGGGAAAGAGACATCATTGGCACATTTCACTCTTTTAAATACTATGTTTCATGTTTCAGGAAATTTACTTTACATTCCTCATGTTTAGCTGCTTACGTCTGGGTGCACTCTGCTGGTAATTGCCAAAAATGGGCCAATGAGATATATTATTATTGGGGAACCTTAATTTGTCTTAATCTGTTATCTTTACCTTTCTGAAATAAATCCAAGTTAATAGACCACTTTAGGATCTGTTCAGATCTCAGTAATTTAAACATGATGACTACATTCATTATAGAAAAACATTCCTTAGCCTTAATGTAAAAAGATTTTGTAAACTAAGTACCTTTTTGTAGATCTGTGTCTAGAACTTCATAATAAATGAAGTTTGGTTTGCTCAGGTGCTGCTGCTCCTGCTCCTGCTGCTGCTACGATTCAACAAGGCCAAGTCAAATACTTCCTGATGTCAGCTTGTGAGGTCTCACTTATGAGTAAGAGTTATACTTTGATTTCTATCTTGCACTTCGGATGTCTTCAATGGTGCTATATTTTTTTTGTCACCAGTATCTTGATAATGACATTCAGACAATCTTATCAGTCAGTCCAACAGAAATGGGCTTAAACATGTCTTAAAATTTATTAGTTGAGGTTTAAGTGTCAGACTAATGTGAAATGACCTTACAATTGCCCACAAAATGGAGAAATATCACTCAATACCCTTATTTCAAAGTTTTAATTATATTAAAAACAACTTTCACTCTATCAGTATTCGAAAAACCTGCCCACCTCTAGTCTGTTCTTGGGACTTTATTCTGTCACTTGTCACCTGGGCATCTGACATAATATCAAGAACAGTGCCCCAACTAAAAGGCCCCTGATTATTTAATCCAGACTGAAAAAGTCCAAAGGAAAGAATGAATCTAAACCCGTTTCATGTTATTGTTGGTCATCAATCATAACTACATTAAAATGTATACAGAAAACATAGACTCAGTACACCGGTCACGTGGCAAGAAAAAAATGTTGCTCAAACTCGACAAACAAAGGTGCATTTGTTGAGAGCTGCAGCTGGACAAGATGAACTCGGATATATTAAAGCAAGAGCTTTGGCAGTGAGTAGATGCACAGGAAGAAAAAAATACACGGGTCAGTCTTTCTCAGATTAGAAAATTGGGGTAAGAGGGGGGCTTACTGGCACCGCCGTGCTGATTAGAAAGGCTGTAGTGTTCCCAGTAAAAGGGAGCAGCCATATTCAGTAACAGCACCCCTTCCTATGGCCAAAGTACACATCTGGGACCAACCAAAACACAGCAGCAGTAGTAACTAATTATCTGGTTTCCTTTCAACAATTTTCATTCATGATGCACCATAAAACATTTGACTACAGTACATACCTTTCCTTACAGTTTTTTTTTTTTTTGTTGGTTGGTGTTTGAATCTGTAAGAAGACATATTCTGCAAAATCAGCTTTTATGAATTTTTTAGGATATTATAGTGGTTTTCTTAAAAGTGTTATATTTTTATTTCATGCATATTAGAGTAGTTTTGTATTTATCCATTGCCTTTGAGGTTCGAGTGCTTAGAAAATTTCAGTTTTGACCTTCCCTCTATCCCCACCCACAACTCTGTACTTATTATTATTTGAAGAATTCAAACTCCAAGTCACGCAAAAATGTTTATTACTAAATCTCACATATAATGTAATGTCTTTTAAGCAAACTGATCTGACCATACATGACTTTTTAATGCAATTTTCTTATTCCACGAGAGCTATAAAATACAATATGAATACAGAAAAAAAAAAAAAAAATTAAATACAGGGTCATAATCAGATCCTATAACTAAATAAATCTGAAGTTGTTAAAACTAATCAAAACCTGACAGTATTTTTAAACTTATCTTTTCATTTTCTTCAGTTTATTGCATTGGTACAGATATAATGTTGTATAAAGGATGCACTAAATATCGTGGTTGCCATTAAAACATATTTATTGAAACTATGTTATTTGTATTAAGTCTAGACCTACAAGATCTAAAAGAAGAGATTTAACACTTTACACAAGCTTCAGACAGGACCACCATACCACAGTTATAAATATTTTTAATTTGATTCCAAGAATGTGTTTCATTTTATTCTTAGTTTTGGTATTAATAAAGCTTTTGGCCTTGTGACAGGACCCCCAAATAAATACAAAAAATAAAAACTCTAGCAAGCTAACCTTAATATAACCGAGTATGTTTGTTGAGTAGAGAGAGGCCACCTAAGTTCTTCTTGTGGTTTATTGTGAGGTACATGTTTCTATAAATACATTATTCATTGGTTAACAGCCTTGAAATTATTCTGACAGCATAGTTTATGCGTCAATGAATTCTGCGATACACATCTAGTAATTTGTTGTTGCTAAACTATTAATCTAATGGCAGTTGTTTGTGCTTTGATGAAGTCTCAACGATGAGTGGTGTTTGTGTTGACTTTGGAAGCTCCATTAAAGAGAACTTGGTTTAAAGCAGGCGAGTCACATCCAAAAAGCTTTCCGAAAACTGTTAATTTTCTGGCACCACTTCATAATAACTACACTTTATTAGCCTTAAAGGTGCATTGCCCAATTTTCCTGCTTCATGGTCCGTCACCTATTTGTCTCAATGGAGATGTTTCCCTGGAATGTTCATGGTATGGCATTAAACATGTCCATTTATCATATATTCATTACTTGAGTTTCTACTGCAAAAAAATACAATCATTCTTTCTGTGAATTGGGGTGACTCGCCACAGCTCTGAACTGTAATGTAACATATTGCTGTAACCTGTTTGTCTCTCTTGTGATAGATAGGTTTAATCTATACTGTGGAACATTCTAGACAAAGCAATAATATTTCCATGGAGATAAGCAGGTTTCGGACCTTACACTAGAAATGTTAGTGCACCTTTAATAAAGCATAAACAGAGACTTAATTTATAATGAGCAAATAGTTAATTAAGATTCAGGCTCAGTAATACTCTAACTCTTTGCCTCAATTAAGTAGATAAGATAAGTAATAAACTATGTATTCACTATGATTTAAGACTTTATTGCTTTATTAAGGATAATTAAGGTGTAGTTATTATAAAGCTTTACCAATTCTCTTTTTCTCAGCAATAACCGAACAAACCAGGTCATGACCAGTTTTGTATCTATTTTGTCATTCATCTGAGTGGCTTAAAACAAAATACTCATGTTAACTTGTTAAATGTACATTAATTTAAGTTGCAGCCCTGATCCAAATGACCTGCCTTAAACCTATTGGACCTGTTGGGCAAGACTCCAAATATGATGCTTTAGCAAACATCCTTGGCCACAGTTTTGAGTCCGTTCCGGGAGGGTTGTGCCTTCTACCCACAAGTCTCTGTGTAAACCAGTATCAACATTTGCAAGGTGTGAAGTTTTACTGAAGTTTCTTAAAGGTGCACTATGTTACTTTGACTGGATGTCCATCACCTGCTTGCTCAAAAATACATAGAAAAACCATAATTCTGACTGTGAGTGGGGTCGCCTCTCCACAGATCTGACCTTTTACTTGCTCTGTTTTGGTCTCCATGAAGATAAAAGGTTCAGTTCCATACTGTGAAACAAACAAAGCAGTACCCCATCTCCATGGGGTAAAAAAAAAAACATTTGACAGATGCTCCACCAAAAAAGTTACACAATGCACATTTAATCTTTTCATTTAATGTAATTTTGCTCTCGTGGTATTGGCTGTAGTTTATTCTTGTAGTTGCTGTTTTATTTGTTAGTATTTTTGCTCTTATTTGGTTTTAGTAGTTTTATTGTCTTAACATGGACTAGTGGAGTGAAACATATTCCCATTGTATTGTTTTATCTGTATTGTGTAACACTTTGGAAACTGGAAACTGAAATGTGCTATATAAAGTGGATTGGATTCTTATCATACAACATTTAAGCCTGGCTTGAAGCTCAATAGGCAGAACATCATTTTTAGGGGTCAATATTTATCATATGTATTTTTGTTTACACTAGCAGCAAACTGTTTTGTAGTATGTAGCTGTTCAAGGTTGAATAGTCAACATATCTATCAATATCAACACACTTTTATACATACCGTGTGATTCTTTGTACCTTTTATTCATTGCAGCTCATATGTTCTGAAAGTGAAAATAGTTTACAATGTCCAATGAACCAGTACTTTTCAAAGTATTATAAAGTAAATATCTAAATAATTCAATCCACTCTGCAGTGGACCCCAAACATAGGCACCCCACTGCTCTCTGTGGGCCCTCTGGAGCTCTGTTAAAGTGGCTCTTTGACGCTCAGTGGAGATCTTATCAGCCTCTGGTATCCTGGGGCGACTGCGTGGTGTCACTCTTCAGGTGTGATTCAGGATTCATAGACTGCAGCGATAATAAGACCGCACTGTGTGAGAGAGGGAGAACAGACACTGTGATTGTGTCTATTGGGCCCCAGTGCACCCCAAGACTCCATCACCCCCTCTCATGTTTTCTCTATGTAACTGAGGGCCTTTTTGTAGAGCCTCTGTCATCTCCTGTTAAATCAGGTCAGCAAGGAATTTGTGAAGGTTTCCAGCAGTTCTTAAAGTTGGCAGTTGTATGATTGAACTTTAATTATTTTAGAGAAGCATGAATGAAGAATACTCAAGCCTTGTCCTGCTGAAACTACTCCTAAGGCTAGTAGTATAGTAATAAAGTGGGGAGCTAAATGCAGTCATTACCTGCATGTGTAACATTACAGTATGTTTGTGTGTGCTAGTGAGCCAGAAAGGCAAATAGGCGGGGTCTGTGAGACCACTGGGGAAGGGGGAAATGTTTTCAAAGACATTTTGGGGAGGCACACCATACAGAAGTTGCATATAGCTTTTCTCAGTGAATTCTGCACTCACTGTGTACAACACAAGATGATTTTGTGACGTTTAGATCATTAATAGATTAAATCATGGGTACCAATGCACTGACTGGTTTTTCCATGATGAGTCTGCTCAGTCTGGGCTATCTGGCCTGGGATCCGAACAGCCCTAATCAAGTGGAGATTGACCCCGGAGTGGATACTTTTGGAGACACCTCTCCTTTGGCGCCTCAGCCTCCTCACATCATCTTCATCATGACCGATGACCAAGGATTTAATGACATTGGATATCATAGCTCAGACATCAAAACGCCCACACTGGACAAACTGGCAGCGTATGGAGTTAAGTTGGAGAATTACTACATTCAACCCATCTGTACTCCATCCAGGAGCCAGTTCATGACCGGCAGGTAAGGTCAACCTCACACATGTAGTGACAGCAGGAACATGTCACAATGTTAGCGCATTCTAGTCAGGTAGTAAAATACAGAGAGACCATTCTGGATTTGCCAGGCATGAAGTATTGGAAACACAATTGGGAAAGTGCTTGCCTCTCTTAGATTAAAGTTTAAAATAATGTTAACGTGTCTGTCTATAGTTATTTATCTGTTATTGGTCATTCAGTAACCACTTCTTGTTTTATATTGTGTGAAGAAGCTTTAAACATCAATTAAATTTCCTATAATTTAAATGTATCGAGATTGATTAGGAGGCTTTCAAATTACATTTTAAAATTTGCATCTAATTGTAAATATTATAATTATAAGTTGTGTAACAGCAAAGTTAATATAATGTTTATATTTATTGATGTGATGTGCAGGTATCAAATTCACACTGGTCTGCAGCACTCCATCATTCGCCCTCGCCAGCCGAACTGCCTGCCCCTGGACCAGGTCACGTTGCCCCAGAGGCTGCAGGAGCTGGGTTATGCCACACACATGGTCGGGAAGTGGCACCTGGGCTTTTATAAGAAGGAGTGTTTACCCACGCGGCGCGGGTTTGACACTTACCTAGGCTCCTTAACAGGAAGTGTCAATTACTATACCTATACATCATGTGACGGCCCTGATCTGTGTGGATATGACCTGCATGAAGGGGAGACTGTGGCATGGGGTCACAAAGGCAAATACTCCACTCACCTGTACACCCGCAGAGTACGCAAGATCCTGGCCACTCACGACCCCAAGGCCCAGCCCCTGTTTATCTTCCTCTCTTTTCAGGCCGTGCACACACCCCTGCAGTCGCCTCAGGAGTATATCGACCCCTACCGGGCGCTGGGAAACGTGGCACGCAGGAAGTACGCTGGTATGGTCTCAGCTGTGGATGAAGCTGTTCGAAATATCACTTATGCCCTTCGCAAATATGGGTACTACAAAAACAGTGTGCTCATCTTCTCCACTGACAATGGGGGCCAGCCACTGTCAGGGGGCAATAACTGGCCTCTTAGGGGGCGTAAAGGCACCTACTGGGAAGGGGGCATCAGAGGTTTGGGGTTTGTGCATAGCCCTCTACTGAGAAGGAGAAGGAGAGTGAGTCATGCGCTGGTGCACATCACTGACTGGTATCCAACACTTGTGGCATTAGCCGGTGGTAACAGCTCTATGACTGAAGGCCTGGATGGATTTGATGTTTGGGAAGCCATCAGTGAGGACAAAGAGTCTCCTAGATATGAAATTCTACATAATATTGACCCACTTTATAATCATGCTCGAAGTGGATCATTACAGGAAGGTTATGGCATATGGAATACAGCGATCCAGGCATCCATACGAGTGGGAGATTGGAAACTTCTGACTGGAGACCCTGGCTACGGAGACTGGATCCCACCTCAAGTTCTTCCCGGATTTCCAAACACCTGGTGGAACTTGGAGCGACACCTTGAGCCAAAGAAATCCAAATGGCTATTCAACATCGCCACTGACCCTTACGAACGCCGCGACTATTCTGATGAAAGGCCAGATATAGTGTACGAGCTACTGGCCAGACTGGCGTTCTATAATCGCACAGCGGTGCCAGTGAGGTACCCCTCAGAAGACCCACGGGCTGACCCAAGCCTGAGCGGAGGGGTGTGGCTGCCGTGGGTAGAGGATGAGGATGAGGAAGAAGAGTGGGATGACAACCATCACACAGAGCAAAGTGACTGGAGGAAGAAGCTTAAACTGTCTCAAAGCATGTCATTACTCAAGAGTCTTCAGTCCAAAATGATGTCCAATTGGATATAGACAGATATCAGTACAAATGCAAACTGCCATGACCTACTGGGACTACAGGCTTGTCAAACTTTAAGCTTATTTTGTTCTTTGTTTGGAACAAACAAACACAAATTACAGTTAAAAGTAATGGTTGTGCATATTGTAGAAGGACATCAAAGGTGTGCTGTGTAACTTTTCTGGTGGAGCGTATGCCATCTGTATTTCTCAATGGAGATGTTTGGCTTGGAATGTTCCACAGTATGGCATGAAACGTATCTGATCTTTTTCAATCCTTATTGTTATTGTTTTCTTCTCTAATATTTAGCCCTTATGTTTGTTTTGACATCACTGGGACAAGATACGGTTCCAGACCATAAGTATATTTGTAAAATGAGTGTAAGCATATTGTAAAAACAGGTCTCCTTTCCACAAATATGACCAGTAACTTGGCCTGGTGGAGTCACCTGTGTGTTTCCATGGAAATACATAAGTTCAATGCCATACTGTGGAACATCTTAGACAAAGACATAATACTTCTATGGAGACAAGCAGATGAGGATCCTCCACCAAAAAGGTTGCAGAGTGCACCTTTAAATAGAATATTTGTATTCTTTGTAAGTATGGTGGATTTTGGTGGACAAGCCATGATGCTTTTAGCCAGGAGAAAGCCTGGTGAACACTAATGAATTATTCACCTGTGATTTTTCATTTTAAATTGATCTGTTCTTTGCTCAAATCAATTTAATTTTTGTATGAGCTGAATATAACTTCCTACTAGTGGCATGCATAACCAAAAATGGCAATGCTCTGGAGGTGAACCTGTCTGTGGTACAAAACTACCTCTGCCGGTCTAATGTGAAAGACGTGTACAGTTTAGACATTGGTCACTAGGTTTTCACCACATTCGAAACTTACTTTTGAACTTACTTTTGATTGACCTTCAGTAAATCTGAATCCATTATTTTTTCCCAAATATTTCTACTAAACACATTTTAAGTGGGACATAAATCAAAAGTATAGCAGTACATTTTTGTTCTTGAATCATCTACCCACAAAATCTGGTTATTTGACTGACTCATATTACTGGATCCTTTATAACATTCAAAGCACCCAATTATTTAAAACTTGTTTAATGTGGTCTTTTTACATGAGTTAAATGTTGTTTGTCTTTATAAAGGTAATGATGATTTTTTTTAAACAGGAACTAAAACTTTTGCCCACACCCCCAACTCTTTTTTAAAACACAATTTGTCTGACACATTTGCAGGTGCATCTGAAAAAATAAATCAACTTACCTCAAAACCATGCTTATTTTTATGCACATCCTTATTTATTTCTTTACTGAGACCTAACTCTGGAATTCCTACACCACACATGTTGTCTAACACAGGATTGCTAAACCTGGGTTTGGTACAAAGTGAAGTGAAACATTTTACTTCATTTCCTCACTAGAAAGTCAACACCCATGCACGCTCCATTTCCTGTAGGTTTCCAATAGTTCTTTCATTTACTACGTATTTGTCTTGATGATTTGAAATATGAAGATGATTCTTGCTATTTTGGTTCTATTGCCTGGACTAAGCTATGGTAAGTGTTTTTTATTGTGTCAAAATGTCAAAACTCCCCATAACCTTTTCTATTTATTGCAGGTTTTTTGAAACCCAGTGACACCATGTGCAAAGCCACAGAGACAAAAAGCACCTGTTCTGTGATGCTCGGAGGAAATATTTTCTTACAAGTTATGAGCAATGCTTCCACCTATAGGATCCAGTTCAAGAAACAGCTTCCCAGTGGATCTAAGGAGGTGCTTGCAATTAAAAAAGAAAGATTGTTAATACGTGAAGATTCATTCAGCAACCGTACGGAGGCGTTCATAAACAATGGAACAATTAAGATTCAAAATTTGCAGTGGGAGGATGCAGGAAAATACAAAGTGGAAATTTATGACACAAAGGGATCCAATGTGAAAACAGTGGAGATGACACTAGAAGTGAAGGGTAAGTGTGTTGAAGTTGAACATACCTGTATCAGATTCTCCAAGTTAAAACATGAAGTATCTTGTTAACAAATGTTTGAATTATAATGTTGAGATAGAGAGTTCAAATATAATAGTAAAATCAAAAATACAGAAAAAGAGAGCTTCAGGGGTTTTCTTAGTTAAAAGTTTAGAACTGAGCTCAAACAGTGAAAGTGACCATGCTTGTAGTGTAGTCTTACTATGATAGAGTAAAAAAGCGCTCCTGAGGCACTGTTGGAGATATTATAAAAGTCCTTTATGGGACTGTCAGTTTGTTAGTGTGGTGTTGTGAGATTATAGATGTGAACAATGAAAAAATATTTTGTCAATAGCCTTAATTACACCTGATCCCATGGAACATTTCCAATGCCATAGATAATCACGTTATGAAGTGGTCATGTAGCAGGTTTGTCAACATTATATTCTGGGATCTGGAATTCAAAAATAATCTCTGTAAACCAAAGGATAATGTAGGGATCACAGTATTAATAATACATTGGCCCAGCACAAATAATTCAAGTTAAATTAGGATTATAAAGCAAAAGTCTCTTATCTACAATTAAACATGGATAAGACCTAATCTGGTCTTTTTATATTGCAAATGAATGAGTTTACTTACTTTTCATCTCTAACTCTCTATAAGACCTAATCTGGTCTTTTAATATTGCAAATGAATGAGTTTACTTACTTTTCATCTCTAACTCTCTATAAGCAACATTACATTTTACTGTTTTAATCTAATATTAAGCATTGTCTATACATGCGCTATATCCATAAGCATGAATGCTGTAATTATGTGTTTTTCCTTCAGCAAACCTATGGCCTATTGTTGTGATTGCTGGTTCTTCTGTGGGGGCTTTTCTGGTGCTGGTCCTCATATCAGTTTGTATTTACAGAAAAGTCAAGACAAACAAGCAACCAGGTAAGAGTTGGCATTTAAACTATTTTGTGTTCAACTTCAAACAGTTAACATTATCCTTTCACACAGGTACAGCAATATGAAAGAAGTTGCATCATATTACAAGAAATAATTCAAAATCTTTGGACACATTGTATAACCTCAGTAATAACTGTAATGGACACACTTGCGATGAGGGGCCTGTTCCAAATGCTATTTTGCAGATGAATGAATTTCTGATTTGAGTCTTTCAAATATAATATAAACGTGACAAATTTCTGCTTTTTTATTTATACCATAAGTTCTTTCCCCATGTTATTTAAATTCTGAATGAACCTAAAAGGCTACATATTTATATCTGAACACAAAGTGAAGTTGATAAGCATTCACTTCACACAATATTGGTACACAAACAACAACCCAACATAATATGAAACAAGGGCATTTTGTCAGTTTAAATTTCAGACAATGTCTTTGATAACTGACAACCACAATTACAGTCATTGGTTGTTTTAAATCTCCCATGTCAAATCAAATCAATTTGACCTGTTGCTCTAGCAGCATTGAAGGATGGATGAAATACAGAGGACAAATTTCCCTGAATCAATAAAATTATACCTTAACCTGATTCAAATGTGTCATTGTAATACGTGGCATACTTTTGTTTCATATACTGGTATTTTGAAGTAAATGTGTAAATATTAGAGGTGTTCTGTGATATATTGTGATACGTCATTGCACAATTCTTGAATTGATTCAAAATGTATCTGAATCAATTTTATTTAATTAAATAATATTTTTCACAAAAAGTTAAATTCACTGTTCTCATGATTTAAAAAAAAAAATTCTAAACTATATTTCATACAGTTTTGATCTTATAAGTAAAGTTTTACTTTTTAATTTTAATTTTAGATAAATCACAATATATCATCTATTGTTTTAGTGTCGTGATATATTGTGACATAATGAATTGTGACATACATATTGTCAGAATAATTCTATTATCCCATATTTGCTAAATGCTTGTGTGTTATTCTAGACCTATGAGTTAACCATTTATGTACTACAATTCTTTGATTTATAATGTACCAATCATTTGTATGAATATGAATAACCTCTTTGTTCTTAACACCTGTGTGCAGTGACCTATCGCTCTTGTGAACCTCGAGATGATTCCTCACATGAAACCAACTCCCACTGTCACACATGCAAGAGTTATGATGGTGTCTGACTATACCTACGGCACCTCCTGATTGTTAATCATGTTTTATGTGTTTGAACTATGAATAGCTGCATCAGTTTCTTATTATGTCTTTGCTGATTCCCCCTTCCCCTTGAGAATTATCATTCTGTAACTAGGGCCTCCTAATGAAATAAAAGGAGGAGAGCGGCCTTGAGTCATCAGAACGTGTGGAGACTGTTGGTCTGATGCCCACTCTCTGCCCGTTCTCCTCATGAGAAAAACTGAATTAATCTCTTGTCTTTCTTCTTGTTTTGAATGTCTAGATAAACCTAACATTTACTTGGTCCTTCGTATGCCGGTGCCCAAAAATACCTGAGGACTCCAACGGACGTTAAGAATCCAGAAAGACTGTGGCCACAGCCCTCTGCTACGAGGTAACATACCCTTTCCGGGCTGGTTGTCTTCTCGCCGGTTGGAGTCTGACGGTTGACGGGAGAACCGAGGGAGAAAGGCAACAGACTGTGAGTAGGCCTTTTGTTAAAAAGCGAGTGACTGGGGGTCATTGCGCGTAGAGAAACCCTATAAATCCTAGGCTCTAATAGGTGAAAGGGCGACGGAGCCCCACTACTAGATGTAATTTGACAGGCTAGTGAGTAAAAGTCCGTTTATACAGGATGGCGGAGTCCTCCCGGGTTAAATTCCGTAGATAATGTGAAGGATGCCGGAGTCCTCCCAGGGTTAAATTCCGTTGGCGCCGAGAAAATAAGAAAATCAATAAAAATTTAAAAACTGAAAATAATAAAAACTGAGTGTGAATGGTTGTGTGACTGGAAGATAATAACCACTAGGTTGTTGTCCTCATACCAATCGATTGAGAAAGGAAATAGTGAGTCTTTGTGGATGTAAAGACAAGATTTCTCCACCTGACGGGTTGAAGTGAGAAATACCACAAAGATAATTTAATCACTATCTCAATCAAGAAAAGTTAACCCAGTTCTTAGAGACCTCCCCAGGAGTGATAGGACTGGTCCAAATTCTTTAATATGGGTAACAAACATTCTACAGGGAGACCTACAGATAGGCTAAAATGCAAGGATTATAAAGTTCTTGGAAATAATGACAAGAGTAACGTTAAATATTTGGATAAATGGATAACAAAATACAATTTTGAGGGGCGACTTAATGTGTCAGACCTTGAGGCACTGCGCGCACAAATTAAAGAAAGAACCAAAAATAATGAAAGGAAGATGCGCAAAAATGGCATTAGAGAGTTAGAGAATTGGTTAGAGGCAGCCAAACTGAGAGAGAGCCGTCTGAAAAGAAAGCAGGAAAATGAAGCAATACTATCGAAAGCAGACACAATGCTTTTCCAAAACAAAGAAGATTATGAGACAGTTGTTGCTAGTAGACGCCCACTACAACCACAACAACTCCCACATGATATGGCTACACCAGTGAAGGACAGCCCTTCTGTAAGCGCTGCATTCCTTCCTCCGCCTTATGCTACGGGGGGGGCACGACACTTCAGACAAAACATACCCTGACCTAGAACCGCTTAAATCTATGCAGGCAGGGGTCTCCACTCGCAGACCAGAGTGGGATTATATTTGTATACAGAACTTGGACAGCTGAGGATGTAAAGAAGGCCGTAGAAGGCATTACACCTTACAAAGACGATGTAAATCAGTTCTGTATTGAAATGGAGGCTCTCTGAGACTCCTATAAATTAAATGGTCATGAGACACAGCAGGCCTGGATGGCTGCGCTGGGCTCCAATTGGGGTCATGTCAGAGGTGACTGGGATCCCTCAGGAACTGATGGGAAATCCCTTAAACATGATGCTCAGGACTTGACTGTCAGAGTACAAGCCCTGGCAGAGAGAACTAAAACCAGATACAAGAAACTGGCTAATTATGGTGAAATTTCCAGAACCAAACAAAAAGATGATGAAAAACTTGAGGACTTCAAAATTAGAATGACCAAAGTGTTTAAAACACACAGTGGATTAGAAGAAAGTGATGATACGCAGGGTCCGTATCAACAGCTCAAAAACGCCTTACATGCAGGAGGAAAAACTATAGCAGAAAGCAGAAAAACTGTGATTTTTTCTGCTCCGAAACTATTACTGAAAAACAACTTGTATCATTTTTAGGCCTTACAAATTATTGCAGACAGTGGATTCCAAACTACGCTGAAATTATTGACCCACTGCATAGATTAATTTATGATGAGCAAATAACCGTGACAACTCCTTTAAAATGGACAGCAGAGGCCCTCCTAGCAAAGCCACTTCAAGACTTGATTTTTCCTGAACCTAGGGAAATAAATCACAAAGTAACTTGAACAGAAGAGGCAAATTTGGCATTCAAAAAATATATAAAAGATTAAAAGTGAACTAATGAAGTCAACTGTATTGGCATTACAAGATTACACTAAACTTGAGTGATACTGTGTCTTTTTCAAAATTTGGTGCAGACCAAAATACTAAGCCAGCGCAGCGAGTGATAAAAGACAATGCTAATATCGTTATATTACCCAACAATAAAGATGTTAACGTACAAACGGGTAATGTACTGTCATCACAAAACAAGAACAATAAAGTTGGCAAAAGAGTGCAGGCAGACGGGGAATCTGTGCCAAACGTCAAGGTTAGAGATACGTCGCTGCTAGGAGACGGGGCATCAGTGGTGTGAGGCACAGAAGAATCCTAACATGCTGCTACCCCACATACACTGTTTACTCCTGCCAAAAGTTTTTGTCAACACACCAAGGGGTCAGCAGTGGACCTCTACCCAACATAGGCCTAAGGTAGAGGGACAAATTCACCCGATTGCTTCAGCTTAAAAATGATTATTGCATGTTAAAAATATCTGGAAGAGAAGTTTTGACTATGCTTTATGTAACGTTAGTTCGAGGCCAGGCTAAGGGTGTTAAAATAGGAAACATAAAAAGTTAATTAAAGGAGCACAGGTTATAATAACAACCAGCAATCAAAAATGTTGATTATTATAAATGTATTAAAAGTAAAATGAGAGACAAAGATAAATTGTGAGATTATAAAGCACAAAAGTTAAAGTCACAAATAAATAAATGAATTAGAGTCTATGAACAAAAGTAGGTAATTTTCAGTTGTTTTATTATAAACTACAGTTTGAAGACAGTTTGTACAAATCCCAGGTCCAATAATACAAAACAAATAGCCTGTCCCACCGCACAGACTCTTAGCTCATTATCTGGAAGTTTGTTGAGTTGAGGTTGTTTTTCAAATCACAGAATCAGTCCGTGGGAAATCTGACCTAGGAAGCCAGAAACACAAATAAGTATATCGTTCAAAATAATTACCTTAGTTGTTTTAACATGAACATTATGAACGAATTAAATCAAGAGTATGTGTAACATGCGTAAGGAACGATACAGATTTATGGCACTAAAACATAAAACAGGTATAATGTATATAATTAATTGTTGATAATTAATTATTCATCCTAGTACTGATCCAAAGTTCAGTTGAATTAAGTAAATTATGAGTAAATAAATCATTTGCAATAGCATTAAAGATAAATGCATTTAGTTTGTATGCATCAAAATGTCAATTCCAAATACTGGTCAAAAATATCCAGGCAGAGATCACAGTTAGACCGAGTTTATAAATTAAAATGTTGTGTAACAAACATACTATAAAGAAGTTAAAAGGTAGTTAAAGGAGTAATTGAAGATTTTGTCGAATAAAACATGCTAGCGACACTTTACACCGTTCAAATTTAAAATAAGAGTTATTCACATAATGGCAAAAGACTCACCTTAACAGGACGGTTGAAATACGCCGTTATTTAGAAATTCCAGAGCTTTGTTGAGAGTTTTTACAGACAAAACACATCAGCCGCAGCTGAGAGTGAGGGGAAGTAAAGCGCGTGCACCTAAAGGAAGGGAAAGTGCGGCAGCCGAACAGGAAGTAGACCGCCAAAATAAAGTTGCCAAAATAGAAGTCCGCTGAAATAAAAAGTGTATTGGATACGGGTCACGTTTAATCGCCGTTATTTCGGTCCCTTCTGATTTGAGATAAAACACTAAACTATTGCTAAAATATTAAAGGCGCCGTATTTTTGATTTGTTTGAAAATGTTCTGTTTAAAATGTAATTAAGCATGTTGGCTTAATTGTAACTTTAACTGTGTAAAGACATTATACCAAGATTTGGTATACCAGAGAAAGTCTATAGTGATAATGGACCTCATTTTGTAAATAGTTTGATATCTCATATAGGTAAACTATTTCACATAGATTTGAAAAATCACTGCGCATACCATCCTCAGAGCGCTGGGCTAGTAGAAAGAATGAATGGTACAATAAAAAACAGATTGAAAAAATGTATGGAAGAAACAGGGCGACCATGGACCCAGTGCTTAGATTTAGTCAAACTGTATATAAACATTACTAGTACCACAGGCCTAACCCCATACCAAATAATATTTGGAAGAACGTACAAAATACCTCAATTTAGGAATGAATGGGAAATTAATGAAGAAGCTAACTTAGCAGACTATATGAGGAAAATATTAGAAAAACAAAGCAAAAATCCGTAAACTTTTTAAAATGACTAAAACTTCCACTGGCCTAAATCTGACCATGACTGACCTAGACCCCAAATTACCATGTCTACCAATTTGTTTATGGGCATATAGCGCTGACACAGACCCAATGTATGCAGAAGCATTAATATGACTGGAAGTGGTGCGTTTAGACGTGTTGACATTTTCGAGGTCAGCAACCACTTTCAGCCTGTGTCCCGAGGCGATGTGTGGTGGTGGTGTGGCAAAGATAAACTTTATGATCGATTGCCAAGAAATGTGATAGGACACTGTGCTTTAGTGTCTCTTTTGCTGCCCACGACCATACATCTCCTCCCTGATAAACATTTACTGCATGAAATGTCTAACATCTTACCTAAACCATGGGCTAGAAATAAGAGATCCTCCTCATGGAAAGGAGATTCTGACCCGACATATATTGATGCTATAGGAGTCCCGAGGGGGGTCCCCAGTGAGTACAAGTTAGCGGATCAAATAGCCTCAGGCTTTGAAAGTTTCCCAATTTTGTCTGCTATATTTCCGGTAACACCAAATAAAAATGTTGATCGAATTAACTACATCCATTATAATGTTCAAAAACTAGGCAACTACACCCAGGCTGGATTTGAGGCAGTGCATGAGCAGTTAGCAGCAACTTCTCTGATGGCGTTCCAAAATCGTATCGCATTAGATATGCTCCTCGCTGAGAAATCTGTGTGTGAGATTTTTGGTGACCAGTGCTGCACCTTCATCCCTAACAACACTGCATCTGATGGTAGCTTGACTAGGACCATTGAAGGCCTACGGACCCTTAACAAGCGCCTTAAAGAGCAGTCTGGTGTTGACCAGTCCATGTGGGATGACTGGATGGACGTATTTGGAAAATACAAGTCCATTGTGTCCTCTGCGCTGATCTCTGTAGCCATTTTCGCCGGTTTATTGACGTTGTGTGGATGTTGTTGTATTCCCTGCATCCGAGAATTACTCAATAGACTAATCACCACTGCAATTGCCCCATATCCTGACGATAAGGCAGTGCAAGCACATTTGTTGGCTGGTGATGATTCATACATTGGGGACTCCTCCTCCTTGGCTCTCTCACTTCTATTTGAGCATGACACAGAAATACATGACTAAAATAACATTACCTCCGAGTGTAAATATATAATTGCTTAACTATGAAATCATAACTGAAAATCGAAAGAAGTAGTTATGAATTGATTTTTCGTTAGCAAATATATGATAAACAGGAGGGAAATGTCAGAATAATTCTATTATCCCATATTTGCTAAATGCTTGTGTGTTATTCTAGACCTATGAGTTAACCATTTATGTACTACAATTCTTTGATTTATAATGTACCAATCATTTGTATGAATATGAATAACCTCTTTGTTCTTAACACCTGTGTGCAGTGACCTATCGCTCTTGTGAACCTCGAGATGATTCCTCACATGAAACCAACTCCCACTGTCACACATGCAAGAGTTATGATGGTGTCTGACTATACCTACGGCACCTCCTGATTGTTAATCATGTTTTATGTGTTTGAACTATGAATAGCTGCATCAGTTTCTTATTATGTCTTTGCTGTTTCCCCTTCCCCTTGAGAATTATCATTCTGTAACTAGGGCCTCCTAATGAAATAAAAGGAGGAGAGCGGCCTTGAGTCATCAGAACGTGTGGAGACTGTTGGTCTGATGCCCACTCTCTGCCCGTTCTCCTCATGAGAAAAACTGAATTAATCTCTTGTCTTTCTTCTTGTTTTGAATGTCTAGATAAACCTAACACATATCATGATATGTATTGGATCGTCTGATTCAAAACAATGTACACCCCTAGTAAATATAATATGTATACATGTTTAATAGTCCCTTAAATTTGTAAGTGATATTTAAGTAATCATCTTATGAGTTCCAAGCAGGTTATGAAGCAAGTTTTGCATTTTGACTGTAAACTGGAGATTGTTAAAGCCACATTATGAAATAATCATTAGACCTCTGTTTAATGACTGAGTAAAGTGACTTAAAAAAAGCAACATACAGTGTGAAAAAGAAATAATTAGCAAATAATAGCCAACTTGCAGGTGATATACTAGAAATATAATATGTATCCTAGAAAGAAAGGTACGCACTGTACTTTTTACTTTTTAAATAATACTCAACTGTCAGCATAAAAAATGTAAAGGGGTATGTGTGTGTGTGTGTATGTATATATATATATATATATATATATATATATATATATATATATATATATATATATATATATATATATATATATATATATATATATTATATATTTATATTTATATTTATATTTTTATATATATATTTATATAATGATACTGGATGTGAGAAAAGTGAAGTGAAAAGCAGAAACACTTCCTTTTAGGACCCACTCAGAACAGGAGTCTCTCTGTGATGTGGACATAGAGACAGGTCGGATTTTTATGAGTTATTTTTATTGAATGTGGAATTTATAGATTGAGTAAAATAAAGATACAACAAACTACACTGATAACATGGTTCTGTAACGCCAGGGTGAACCTCACTCATTGCTTTGGGGCTCTAGGAGGAACCATAAAGATCCGACTGATGGACAGTGGCTCAACAACACACAGATGTATATGGAAAAAGAACAACAAAAAAGTTTTTGACTGGAGAAATAGTACAGTTGGAACAAATGTTTTTCAAAACAGATTTGTCTTTAATAGCAGCACTGGAATAATTCAAATACAAAACTTAACAAAAAGTGACAGTGATTCATACAGTACAGACCTGTATCTTCATTCATTATAAGACTTGACAGTTTGTAAACTTTGAAATATGCCTAAATATACAGTTATATCAAGTATGTTATGAGGTATTTACAGAAGTTGATTATTTTTCTACTTTTGGTAAACTTTTTGAATACCCCACAATGAAGAATTGTTTGGTATGTGTATGTATTCATCTATGCGTGTGTCTATGTTTATAAGTTTTGTCACATAGTTTTCACACTGTTTCAAAATATTTGGTGTGGTTATTGAGACATGCACAGTTAAGTAACACCATCAAGTTATGGTTTTTCATTGGAAACGGGATGTTAAGTGACCACAACTTGTACATGTACTTATAAAAAAAAACAGTGATGCGATTTATTTATTTATGGTGCTTTTTCTGTAGCTCCTTGTTCAGCTGCCCTGGGGCTGACTCACAAGAGATGTGACTGTCCATCTGCACCAAGAACTTCTCTGACCACCAACTTTGAGCCCAGTTGCCTCAATGTCTTTGCTGTGGGGTTATTAGACTACTATACATTGTCTTTTTAATGGTGTGTGCATTTTGTTTGTTCTGTTTCTAACTTAATATATGGTATTTTTAACCACGTTACCCACAATATTATGGATGTTTATTAAGACAAGACAAAAATAATGGTGTACTGTAACAGTATCTTATTAAAACACGTGTGACTGAAGATCTAAATAAGTCTGTTTTATCTCAAAATGACTTTCTAAAATAATCCTGGGTTGTGTTGTAATTGTGTGTTGTCAGTAGAGGGCGACAGATGAAAGTTGATTAATTTAACAAAACTGAACTTTGAGAATTGCAGAACTGAACATTTAAACACCCGACATTGGAATGCACAAGAATTAAGTTAATAATAGTCCTATTACTTTCTGAAATTAAATACTGAATAAAACACAGTGCATTTGTTGTTATTACATTATGAATATAAAATGTTTGAGTAATGACAAATGAACTTATAAACGATAGTGAACATCACAGTTAGTTATAGTTCAATAAAACTAACCACTGACATCCATCCAAATTTAGTTTAACTTAAAAACTTAAAATGTGCCTGTTTTAGCCTCTAGAAGATAGAGCTGATAATGGTTCATGAGAAAAGTGAAGTGAAAAGCAAAAACACTTCCTCTCCACCTTCGTCTAAAACAAGAGCGTCCTCTTGAACTTAAACACTGATTCTTAGGACCCACTGAGGACAGAAGTCTCACTGTGATGGGGACATAAAGACATGGGACCTGTGTGTGCTCTGCTGCTGCTGCTCCACATCGCTCAAGCTCAGGCAACAGGTAGGATTTTTATATGTTTGATTGAGTGTGGAATTTATAGATTGAGCAAAATAAAGATACAACAAACTACACTGATAACATGGTTTTGATAGATGGATAAGCTTCTTCTAACCTATTTGTGCTTTAAATAGTGAAGTCTGTAAAATGAGGTGTATTTATTGTAGGTTCAACTGTTGCAGTTGCTGAGAGCTTCTGTGACGCCAGGGTGAACCTCACTCGTTGCTTTGGGGCTCTAGGAGGAACCATAAAGATCCAACTGATGGACAATGGTTCAACGACACCCATATGTACATGGAAAAAGAATACAGAACCTATTTTTGAATGGAAAAATAATAGAGTTAGAACAAATAAGTTTCCAGATAGACTTGTCTTTAATAACATCACTGGAATAATTCAAATACAAAACTTAACAAAAAGTGACAGTGATTCATACAGTTTGGGGTTTTATAATAAGGATGGACATTTAACTAAATTTATTATTCACCAACTAATAACTGAAGGTAGATAAAACATTTCTCTGTCTACCTATATTGAACTCATTTATAGACATCATTTTAAACTGTTTTGCTTTCCCCCTGCAGTCCCAGTGTCCTCTCTGCTCCTAGACTTTAAGTGTGTGTCCAAAGGAGAGGTGAGGGTTTCCTGTGATGCTCAGGGAGGGGGCAATCCTGAGTACAGCTGGACTCTAAATGGACAAAATCTCACAGACTCTGAACTTGTCTCCAAAAACAATGAAAACACCATCGTTACCCTGAGACAAAACACAGAGGGACTGCTGCGCTGCTCCGTCAAAAACAACGTCAGTCACAAATTTAAGGAGAGTCATGTTACCAACTGTGGTGAGTTTAAACATATCAAAATATTAGATTATTTTTTAATTTGTTATTTGGCAATTGTCATATTCAAGACACATTTAAACAAACAAACATTTAAAAAGATCTAACTATATAATACATATCTTTCTGTCTAATTCATTTTAACCCAAACTATTAACACTTCCTTAGATTAACTTCCTTTATTTATCACTTATTTTCTGTCTGTAGGATACATATTCATAAACTGCACATTAAATGGGACACAGATATCAGAATGGGTTTATAAAGCCAATAACACTCTGTGCACCGAACAAACTACAGTCGCTTCCATCACTTCTTCTGTGGGTAAGACCCCATCCACCAGTCTGAGTGCACCAGTCAGTCCCACAAGTACTACTAGTGGCTCTTTGTATAGTTGTAAGTCAATACTAACCCACACTAATGTGAATAAACTATTTAGTTTTTGTTTTGTGTTCAGATTTTGTTTTTGTTTTTTTCTGCTTCTTTTGTTTTACAACCACAGATTATTGGCCTATTATTATCCGTTCAGTGGTGTTTGTTTTGATAACTCTTGTATTCATCTGGGTCATGAAGGCAACAATAGAAGAGGTATGCAAGTGTTCATGTGCATTTAATGATTAGTAACAAGTAAATTAATTTGTGATGTGATTTGTGATAATATAATACAGTTGACCTGTTTGAATCTGTATTTGCAGATAAGGAGCCTTAGTTGATGTCAAGTTTTTACAGCAGCCAAACCTTGTGGAGACTGGACACCAACACTTTCAGTCACAACAAAAGTCAAGCTTCAGATTGTTTTTTACCTGTATGCATCAGTGGCTAAATATGAAATGAATGTATCTTCATTCATTATAAGACTTGACAGTTTGTAAACTTTGAATTATGCCTTAATATACAGTTATATCAAGTATGTTATTAATGTTGCAGTGCTGAGATATTTACAGAAGTTGATTATTTTTCTACTTTTGGTCAACTTTTTGAATACCCCACAATGAAGAATTGTTTGGTATGTGTATGTATTCATCTATGTGTTTATAAGTTTTGTCACATAGTTTTCACACTGTTTAAAAATATTTGGTGTGGTTATTGAGACATGCACAGTCAAGTAACACCATCAAGTTATGGTTTTTCATTGGAAACGGGAAGTTAAGTGACCACAACTTGTACATGTACTTATAAAAAAAAACAGTGATGCGATTTATTTATTTATGGTGCTTTTTCTGAAGCTCCTTGTTCAGCTGCCCTGGGGCTGACTCACAAGAGATGTGACTGTCCATCTGCACCAAGAACTTCTCTGACCACCAACTTTGAGCCCAGTTGCCTCAATGTCTTTGCTGTGGGGTTATTAGACTACTATACATTGTCTTTTTAATGGTGTGTGCATTTTGTTTGTTCTGTTTCTAACTTAATATATGGTATTTTTAACCACGTTACCCACAATATTATGGATGTTTATTAAGACAAGACAAAAATAATGGTGTACTGTAACAGTATCTTATTAAAACACGTGTGACTGAAGATCTAAATAATTCTGTTTTATCTCAAAATGACTTTCTAAAATAATCCTGGGTTGTGTTGTAATTGTGTGTTGTCAGTAGAGGGCGACAGATAAAAGTTGATTAATTTAACAAAACTGAACTTTGAGTATTGCAGAACTGAACATTTAAACACCCGACATTGGAATGCACAAGAATTAAGTTAATAATAGTCCTATTACTTTCTGAAATTAAATACTGAATAAAACACAGTGCATTTGTTGTTATTACATTATGAATATAAAATGTTTGAGTGATGACAAATGAACTTATAAATGATAGTGAACATCACAGTTAGTTATAGTTCAATAAAACTAACCACTGACATCCATCCAAATTTAGTTTAACTTTAAAATGTGCCTGTTTTAGCCTCTAGAAGATAGAGCTGATAGTGGTTCGTGAGAAAAGTGAAGTGAAAAGCAAAAACACTTCCTCTCCTCCTTCGTCTAAAACAATAGCGTCCTCTTGAACTTAAACACTGATTCTTAGGACCCACTGAGGACAGAAGTCTCACTGTGATGGGGACATAAAGACATGGGACCTGTGTGTGCTCTGCTGCTGCTGCTCCACATCGCTCAAGCTCAGGCAACAGGTAGGATTTTTATATGTTTGATTGAGTGTGGAATTTATAGATTGAGTAAAATAAAGATACAACAAACTACACTGATAACATGGTTTTGATCGATGGATAAGCTTCTTCTAACCTATTTGTGCTTTAAGTAGTGAAGTCTGTAAAATGAGGTGTATTTATTGTAGGTTCAACTGTTGCAGTTGCTGAGAGCTTCTGTGACGCCAGGGTGAACCTCACTCGTTGCTTTGGGGCTCTAGGAGGAACCATAAAGATCCAACTGATGGACAATGGTTCAACGACACCCAGATGTATATGGAAAAAGAATACAGAAAATATTTTTGAATGGAAAAATAATGCAGTTAGAACAAATAAGTTTCCAGATAGACTTGTCTTTAATAACATCACTGGAATAATTCAAATACAAAACTTAACAAAAAGCGACAGTGATTCATACAGTTTGGAGTTTTATAATAAGGATGGACATTTAACTAAAATGATTATTCACCAACTAATAACTGAAGGTAGATAAAACATTTCTCTGTCTACCTATATTGAACTCATTTATAGACATCATTTTAAACTGTTTTGCTTTCCCCCTGCAGTCCCAGTGTCCTCTCTGCTCCTAGACTTTAAGTGTGTGTCCAAAGGAGAGGTGAGGGTTTCCTGTGATGCTCAGGGAGGGGGCAATCCTGAGTACAGCTGGACTCTAAATGGACAAAATCTCACAGACTCTGAACTTGTCTCCAAAAACAATGAAACCGTTGTTACCCTGAGACAAAACACAGAGGGACTGCTGCGCTGCTCCGTCAAAAACAACGTCAGTCACAAATTTAAGGAGAGTCATGTTACCAACTGTGGTGAGTTTAAACATATCAAAATATTAGATTATTTTTTAATTAGTTGTTATTTGGCAATTGTCATATTCAAGACACATTTAAACAAACAAACATTTAAAAAGATCTAACTATATAATACATATCTTTCTGTCTAATTCATTTTAACCCAAACTATTAACACTTCCTTAGATTAACTTCCTTTATTTATCACTTATTTTCTGTCTGTAGGATACATATTCATAAACTGCACATTAAATGGGACACAGATATCAGAATGGGTTTATAAAGCCAATAACACTCTGTGCACCGAACAAACTACAGTCGCTTCCATCACTTCTTCCGTGGGTAAGACCCCATCCACCAGTCTGAGTGCACCAGTCAGTCCCCCAAGTACTACTAGTGGCTCTTTGTACAGTCGTAAGTCAATACTAACCCACACTAATGTGAATAAACTATTTTGATTTTTGTTTTGTATTCAGACTTTGTTTAGTGTTCTCTCACACTTTGCTTTTTTGGTTTGATAGATTTTGAGCCCACTACTTATTTGCCCATTATTGCTGGTTCACTGGTGGTTGTATTGATTATTGGCATGGTAATAGTTTGTGTCCTGAAGAAGCGCAAGAAAAAAAGAGGTATGCAAATAAACGCGTGTATTTTATCATGCTGAACTAAAGGTATTTGTAATCAAACTAAATGAGCCCTTCCCTTTCCCAGGTACCATCTGAGTAGACATATAGTGAACTTGTGAATGCTCACTTATTTACTTATTCATTATTATAATTTTTTTTGTAAATGCAATAAAAATCCCAGACATTGTTAGAAGCTGTAGTAGTAGTAGTACTATTACCATGACATTAGGGCTAAAAGATTTGGGAAACATAACTAAAGGCAATTTTTCAAACATACACTGATTTTTGACTGTCAAACGAATACAGGAATCACATTTCAGAACATCTCTGAGTCTCCAAAAAAGTGCTATATAAGACTGACCCATTATTATTAAACTTCAGGGTTAGCAGTTTTTATGCAGAATTACAATATATTTTTGTCAGCTTCTTTTCAAATTGCATCTATTCAAACTGTAATTTCAATTCAGTTAATATTAATTAATGTCAAATATTGAAGCCTCACATGGAATGCAATTTGATGATGTTATGTCTGACTGTTGCAGACGAGGAACTCGATCAGGAACTGACCTATGCAGACGTGAGGGTTTTGAGGCAGCCGGACAGAAGACCACAGCGTGCGTCTGAAGGGGAAGTTGAATATGGCCAAGTGAAATTTTCAAACCACGGGCCAGTTGTTTCTGTAGAGGAGGATAATGCTTGTATTTATGCCAAGGTCCGTAGGTGATCCTCCGGTTGTACAACAGACACTAACAATTTACCGACTTCTTTAGAAATTATGGATTTGTGGATTTATCAGCTGAAAATTATGTATTTTTTTTTAAACTTGACTATAATTTATTGTGAGTCCAGCCTGTCCAGGTATCCGATTTTTGCCATTGATCTGTATCTTGGCAGAGGTTGGCATTCTTTTATATTATCTTTACACTGTAAAAAAAAAAAAAAAAAAAAAAAAAAAAAAAAAATGTTAAAATGACTTGAATTAAGAAAGTTTGATATTGATTTGAATAAATTTCAGTTGGTAAGCAAAAAATATTTACCAATAGAACAAGGCTTTTTGTTATGCATAAAATACAAAAAACAACACATCTTTCCAGTTAAAATAAGAAACAAAACCTTATGTAGCTTGAATCAATAAAAATACCAATGGTAACCCTATTCCAATAGTAAATAATTTCACTTATCAAATTGAATCTACTCAAATCAAGTAAAGTTTTCTTTATTTAATTCATTTTTTACTTGTCTAGATATGACTTTTTGCAGTGTATTTTTTCTTTCTTTATAGTTTCTTTTCTGTTTTGTACAGTATATAGTATACCTTATGTTGTTAGGTGATTTCACATATTAATACTTAACTACGAAATTTGAAATATATACGCATACTCTTATGCAAGTGGTTTTAAGAAGGGTATTTACTTGGAAATGGAAACAGTTTTAAATAAACTTGTGAAACACAAATCACATTTGTCAGCACTGTATGTATGTGATAAAATAGCCACTCTCACCAAAAATGTAACTTTCATTTTTTTTACAACCGTTGTGGTTACGTAATTGATTTAAAGGTCAAAGGTTGATTACTTTTAACCATCATTCAGGTAATCCGGGACCATAAAGTGTTTATTGCCGTGATAGTTGGAGTGTCCTCAAACAAACCAAGTGCAGCTGAACTCTGACACAAGCAAATAATTGACAGCAGACGCCAAGTGCGATGGTGTTTTGTCCTAAGATTATAAGATTATAGGGCGCCCTTTGGGATCCCATCAATTACTTGGTTTTCAAACACTGATAGCAATAATCTCTGACAGTTCTGAGAAATAGTTAAATTAGTAAAATAAAACATGATCAGTTAGCCCACAGAGTTTGGATAAATGCAAGGTCCTGTTGCTTGTTTCATGTGACCTGCCACACCACAGTTATAAAAGTATAAAACCATGTGATATCCCTTAATGAGGTGTGCTAGTGTCAGGATACTGGAATTAATTAACCATCATTTTATATAACTTTTGTTGTAAAGAATAAAAATTAACCCATATCAAAAATAAATGACTTGAGGATACACATCGAAAGGGTTAACATTTTAATTGCTAAAAACATTACAAGTTACTTCATATCATACCTATCCTCATTAAACCCTCATTTTGTAGTTGGTTTGTCAGACATACACATTTACTATAACTACTTTAGTCATTACTGTTCACAATTTTTAACATAACAAAAACATACATAAAAGGCACATATTGAACTTCTATTTCTGTCTAGCATGTGATTGAGTAACACAGCTAGAGTCAGGATGTGGCCAGTTATCAAAATATCTAAGATTAGTAGTATGGAAACTTTTTGCTGCAACTTCCTTGTTTGTAACAATGATTCAAAAACAGCAACACCAGCATCAGCGCTTAGAAGAATTTGCAGTTTTGTTTTGTTTTTTTAGTTTTAGTTTTTTTGCATATTTTCTTTTCAACAAGTGAGAAAGAAATACCAGAGTTGTAAAGTGTGCATGTTATTATATCTATTAATAGCTGAAGATGTCTTAATATTATATGGTTTGTATTGTGATCAGTGCAACAGGACTGCCGTGCTTGTTCAGAAAAACGTGCTTATTATGTCATGGAAATTCATCATGTTTGTGTTTTATAATAAAAAAGTTTACAAAAGAGACATCCAGTGCTTTGCCAGTCCATGTGATGCCATTTTTACTTAGTACTCCTCTGACACTGTGTCAGATAAAATGTCTTGCCGTGGGCTGGCGGAGATATGGGTGTCCGTGAGCCCACCCAGTGCAGGAGGGGTGGGCGTGGTCGTGGACGCTTGCTGGGAATGCTGCTGTCTTTTCCGTGTTATCTTTCGCTCTTTGGCGCGTCTGTTCTGAAACCAAATCTTTATCTGGAAAATAGAATAGATAAGTTGGTTAAAGATGCACTAAAGATTGTTTTGGTTGAATGTTCCACAGTATGGCATTACAAACTCGCATGCGTTTATTGCTAAAAATACCTTGAAAAACATGAATTCTTACTAAGAGCAGGGCTTAGTAGGTTAGTGAATAGCATGTTAGTGAACGTGAAGTGTTAAAATTAAAAAGCTATTTTTTAACACAGTATGTCTTTTTTTTTTTTTTTTTTTTTGAAACAGCAATGGTGAGTTGTGGTTTTGTCACACTGCTTATTAAAAAAGTTACTGATTACAACCTAGCTACTTCCTCCTCCTTTGTTTTTCCCTTAAGGGTGACGCCCTTCTTTAAGCATCTGTGTTTTGCAAATTAATGCCCATTCTGTATCAAAATTTTGTCAAATTTGGGACCAAAATAACAATAAATAAAACTGACTATTTTGTGACCCCCTGTTGTTGGATTTTAAAACAATCCAAGATATGTCATTTAAAGTAATGCATTATTTTATGTACATGTTGAAGTAGGCCATTTGGATATATTATTGACTAGAATTAAGTAGCAATTCTGGATTACCTGTTATAAATTGAATGTGTATTTAATATGTGTTCATTAGTTTTTATAAGGTAGCTGCATCATCAAACAATAATTAGTCTAACTATTTACTATCATTGGCATTGGCATTGGCATTGGCTATTTACTATCATTGGCATTGGCTATCAACATGTTACATTTCCTATACAAGTTTTTCATTCACATGTTTTTATATTAAAAAAATTGCGATTACATTGTTTTCCCCAACATGTATAACCTGTAGTCTTATTAATGATAGTGCAGGACTACTCTAACTTGCATGAATCAGTAGAAATATAAGTAAGCTTATCGTAATGGACAGTGCATATGACTATTTTGGGGTTTTGTAGTTGTGTAGGTTCCGGAAGTTGTGAGGGTAGAGGTGTTGCGTGAAAGGAAATGTGGGTTTCTAAAGTACTTTGCTGTACAAATTTATATACAAAGACCTAAAAAGGTTTGATTGATTGATAGATGGACCACCATTAAAACATGGTCAAAAGGCCATAAAAACATATTTTATATATTTAACCTATTAAATGAACTTCCCTAATACTGTTATGAAGAAATATAGGAAATGTTATCAATACTCTGCAGTGACATCATGTAAGGGGGTTTTCTACATATCTATAATGGTGTAATATTACCCAATGAGTGACCATGGTGATACAGTGCACACATTAGCAAACACTGTGAAAAAGTTTTAGTCTGAAAACTCAAGAAAAAACACAAAATGGATTTAAACAACATATTTTCAGGAGCTTGTGATCAATATGAGCGTTCACATAGTGATGTAGGGTCTGCTCTGTCTGAGGCTTTGTTGATTTTCAGAAAAAATGTCGAGTGTGAGTAAATAAAAAACCGTTGGCTAATGCTAGCTAGTTTGAGACAGTCATTTTATGTGTGAAAGACTTGTTTAACAGCACAAATCAGATCACCTGTTGTGATTCCAGCTAAGTCAATTCTTTATGTCAGATTGTGTTAAAATGAAGCATAGATTAAAGTCTAACAAAGCCTCAGACAGAGCAGAGCCTACAGTTAGCATCACACACCCGGGGAATGTTCATGACATCAGCTGCAAAGTGTCTTGTTTTATTTATAAAGATAGTTGATGTAGTTTAATCCTGTACTGTATTTCTCTCACCTGTCTCTCCGAGAGGCTGAGTGCCAGTGACAGCTCGCTTTTCCTCCTCATTGTGATGTATTTGTTGTACTGAAACTCCTTCTCAAGCTCCAGGCGCTGGTGGTCCGTGTACACCACCCTGTACTTGTCCTTGGTGCGAGTTTTCCCCCCTGAATCACAAAGATCGGGCATTAGGACACACTACCAGTTACACAAACATTACTATCGTTGCTTCAGTGACTCATGAGCAGTGTTTTGTGAGACCTGAAGAAAACCAAAGACGCCTGGAGCCATGGTCAAGTTCAGGCGCCACTTAAAATCTCATCAACCAAATTAATCACGCTAACTATAACTAATGTAAAGACTCACCACTGCATTGCATCAGTGGCTGGGCTTATCTCTGTCTGTGGAGTTTACATAGCTATTTACACAGGCTGCTATTCATTGACACATGTCCACACACACTTAGGAGAAAGACCTGGGACTGACTCAGAGTTATTGATCGCAAATCTCAACCGGTGACAGCATCGATCCAGGTAAAGGAGTAGATGAGATGACAAAATGTTAATATTTTTGTCTGTGGTTCAGCTTGGCTTAAGCAGTCTCTAAGTGTTATCTGGTGGACCTGTCACCCTCCCAGTGGACAGAGAGGGTGGGGAGCAACGCCTGCAGACTCCATGGCCACCACTGTTAGCTTTGCATTGACATCTCACAGGCTGGCGGAAGGGAGAGGCAACGTGTTTGATGAATGTGTGTGTGTATTGTAGGACTATGTCTCGATAGTGCAGCGTGTGTATATATGAGGAAATAAGCTTAACAGGAAAATGTGTCAGTACATCTGTCATGTCTTTGCCCGCAAAACCCCAAAGACAACAGTGACAGTAAAAGAGGATGTGATTAAATTATACACAAAGCACTGCCCACTTTCAGTTTGTACACTGGAAAAATGCATCAGTGCCTTTTTTGAACATGAAAATATAAATAAATCTCAATATACTGTAAATTTATATCTTTATATCTTTATCTCTCTCTCTCTCTCTCTCTCTCTCATATATATATATATATATACACACACACACATATATAAATATATATATGTATATATAATATATATGTATGTATATATATATATATATATATATACACACACACACACACACACACACACACACACACATATATATGTGTGTGTGTGTGTGTGTGTGTAAAATAAAGTATATATAATAAAGTCTCTCACCTAGAACAGCTGGGGTCCTGGGTGATTCAGGAGGTCTCCTTCTGGATATAAAGGGGTCCTGTCCGGACATAAAACTGTAGTTGTTGAAGACCCCCCCTCCTGCAGTCACTGGGGTGCTGCTCAGCTCGTGTGAGGTGAAGTTGACCTGTCCCGTGCCGGGGCTTGACCCCTGATGGAGGCTGTACAGATACTCGTCCCTGGGGGCGTAGGGGTTCCATGCGCTCGTGGAGGGGTCCACATGAGGGTGATATGCGGGGAACTCATAGGTTGGGGCGATGTACGGACTGCTCAGAGACAGGGGCTGCGGCGGGACTCTGGTGGGAGAGCTGGGGTACATCCTGGTGCGGCAGGTGTCACTCAAACCCCGTGCTGCATGTTAGGCCTCTGTTATTCCCCGCAGACAGTTCCCTCTTCAGTATTTTGCGGTGAGACCTGTCTCTGGAGTAAGAGCGGGCTGCACCTGACACACACCTTTATGGATTTACTTGAAGGAGTCCGAAGGTATCACCATGACGTCACGCCTCACCTGCCGCTCGTGGAGGCACGAGGCCAGTGATCGTTATTTACTCAGAGCTGGTGATAAGGTGTGTCAAGATATGTCTCTCCTGAATTAGGTGCACATCCTAAAGAGTTAGGCCAAACACTTTATACATTTTACCCATCTTTATTAACAACAGCTACTGATGTGTGACCGTTAAAAGGTTTGTTGCTTCGTTAGCCATGCATGCCAAACAGTCATCTGTTAGAACATGTATCCTAGATATTTTCCTCTTTGTAACATTGTTGGTTGTTTTAGGGATATTCAACATTGGATTCAGAAGTCCTTCAATACTTGCTTTGGAGAAAGAACCTAAAATGAGTCTAGTTGAAAAAAAAAATAAATAAATAAATAAAAAAAAGGTCGGCACTAAGCCCACTAGAGGGCACTAAAGTCGAGTAGAGCAGAGGCACTCTTCTTTCTCTATGCATGGATTTGACTGTTATAGGCCTATTTTAGCTCTCATTATTTGCTGATAAATAGCCTCAATATCATGTGAAGATGCTGCGTAAAGACTGGTCATGTTTTGAAACAACTCCATGGCATAAATTTTATTTATTTTGTTTATATGATTCACTTATATCTGAAAGTAACTTAAAAGCAAGTTACTGGAAATATGATAATAAGTAAATATTGTGTAAACTGTTCTGAATTGTGTCCATAGTACACTCAATGGAGACTCAACATGTCAACAACACTGAGGACTCACAGTAGTTGGAAAATTTAGAACTTGAAGCTTTTAGCGGTTACATAAATCTCAAGTATTTATCCAAATGAGTGTTTATTTTAGTGGATGGCTTATACTACAAGATTTGTTTTGAACCAGAGCTGCATAAACTGTGTACCCCCTGCCCTCCTTTTCAGATGTTCAAACATGGAGGACACTAATAAGAGGTCTGCACCGCGGCAGCAGCTAACAGCTCACATGTGTTACAAACTCACACCCACCCAGAGCTTTCATCCCCCATCCTGACGGCACCATAACGTCCACACTACTATGAGTTTCTGAAATCTTCAGTTTGGGCAAATACTCATAGATTAGCATTTTTTTCTTTAGCAGTTTTTGCATTACTATTTATTGGTAACAGAATTTTGGAGACCTCTACTCAGTATTGCCCAATTTAAGCTTGATGTTTAAATATTGTGATGAATTATACTAAGGTGGTTCTCAAAATTCCCACCAAGTACCGCCTACGATAATATTTTGCTTTTTCAAGTACCACCAGATCTAAACTCGGGCTCTATCAAGCCTAAATGAGCGGTAAGCATGGTTTAAAATAAATCATGGACCACATAGTTCTAAAAACATTCACCCCAAAAAGAACAAAATTGTTAATAGATTTGTTTCTAAATGTTTATGTATTTATTTAACCTTTATCCAAACAGGAGGTTTACAATTCAAAGATCTCTTTTTTAAAGGAAGACCTGGCTGAGAGGCATCAAGAACATAACACAGACAAGAGATTTCATATAAAACAGACAGTTATAAAATCGACAATAAAACAAGTATTCAGAGTGCAGAGGTGCCCATATATCACAGTTGGAGAAACACTGCTATATTTGGTTATTTGGTTTTGGTACAAATTAGTTTTATTAGAATAGCCTAATATATACTTAATAATACTCATTTGAATCAATTTGTGGAGTATAAATGTCACTTTAAGCCTATATTTTTTTTCTTAGTTTATGATAATACACTGAGCAACGTAGTGAAACTTTGTTATGCCAACATATAGTCCAGGTTGTTTTTAGACCATGAGGGAGAATTTTAGACTATGGGAGGGTGGCACCATATGGGAAACACTGCTGCTATACTATTATGTCCCTTATTTTATCAGGTCAGAAGAGAAGGAGTTTGTGCCATTGCAAGATACCTCATGTACCAGCTAATCCTTCAGACAAGATGAACAATCTAACAACTTAACTTTGAGATATACAAACTTTATGTGCAAGAAGAACCCAGGTTGAGCCCATTTGTCTCCATAGTTTTTCAAATCCCATTATGCGCTTTCATGTTGCTTTATTTTCTGTTATTTAAATTCAATACTGGTGTCTTAGTAAATGTTTATCACTGGAAGGTGTTGATTACATGGACGGAATTAGACAAATTGTAATGTAGGGCGTTATCCCCAGTCTCATACAGTATCTGGGGCAGTGCTAGCTCTCTAATTACAGCTAGTGAGGCCTTCAGATTTTCTCTCTCAATTAGAGGCGAATATGCACCAATGCTATTTAGCTCAGCTCCCTCCTCCCTCCTGTTTCTGCTGCTTTTGTGCCATTTGTGCAAAGTTGTTAGCATGAAAGGATCTTGTCATCTGTTGGACACAACCAGACAATTTTACTAATATTTTGGGAATATAACTGATTGACAAAAAGTTCTTTGACAGAGAAAAATGTATGATAAGTCGAAAGTCCTCAAAATGGCATTCATAGCAGGAACAAGTCACCTACCAATAAGAATACCAAAAGCAGAAGTGAAAGACTACATAAATTAACAGTTAGTTGCAAAACTGACAGTCATAGTCACAACACAAGCAAAATCCTTGTTCCAGTACTCGGACAGAATAAACAGAGAGGGAGGACATCTGGTGTAAAACATTTCTGGAACAGGACTGTGTCGACACACAAATAAACTTAAGGAGATTTTAAGATGTTAAATACTTAGCACTGTGTAATTTCATAAGTATTGTAACTCCACAGTTCTTTTGTTCACATTTGTATAGTGTTCTTGCCAATGCATTTCTATGGACCTTTGGCACATCTAATGAGTAATGTAGTGAAGTCTTTGAAGTTTAATCCCAAACTCCAAATCAGTAGTGAAACTGTTAAAATGTGGTGATGCCAGAAGGAAACAATGACGGAAAGAAGAAGTCTTGTCTTGTCTTCTTTGAGTTGAAAGATACAGAGTGTGTATTTTGATAATTGGATGTGTTTAACCTCTTTCACACCTGATTTTAGCGGTAGTTTATTTTTCCTGAGAAACTGAGACTTCCATGTTTGTTTCCAAAGAGGGACACTTTGACCCCATTCCAAAATTTTTTTTTTCCTTTTTTTGGCTGTGTCTCGCATACTCTTTCTCTCTTTCTCCTCGTCCTTTTAACGTGTTTGTTGTTTTTCACTGGGCTAGATGGGGTCCAGATTGCTGTTGCCAATAGCGACAGTGGCAGTTCAAACCTCCAGTTCTTTGCCAATCCATTCATAAACAAATGAGTCAAGATCTGGACTTCAGAGCCCCAACAAAACCACAAGAAGCTGAACTCTGCGGGGTTGTATTTTGAAGTAAGGCTGCTTGTTAGTCCAATAAGCTCCATTTGGGCTTCTGATAATTAATTCTTTGATTGTTTGTTAATATTTTTTTGTAAAAACTTCATAGAATAAAAATGAGGCATCTTGTTATTACAAAACCATGCAATCCCAAACATAGTATTAAGGAAATTGTTGATGATATTTTCAGACACTATGTTCCGTCACAATTTAATCATCATCAAGTAAGTCTTATATAGTGCTTTTCAAGGCACTCAGAGTTCTTCATATTGTTTCCCTTGGCTCTTGTACAGTAAATTATTATTGCTAAGTGTATCTGTTTCAAATTGTGTAATGTTACAGTAACAATGTAATGTGAATCTCATCTCATTGCACTAGACTGAATTTTCTCTTTTGTATGTTTTGAATGTCCTCTCTACTGTTTGCCCCCCTCTCTCTAAAAGCCCTCCCTCTTCCTAACTCCTACTCTAGCCTCTGCTGGGCCGGACCACTCACACTCTCTTCTCTGTCAGAGTAGAGAGTAGATGCGCCTGCTCATACCTCTGGGAACTTTCAAAATTTCAGCTCGCTTTTAAGAGTGTGAGAGAGGGCATGAGACACCCATTGTGCTGTGATTTGACTAAACAAACAGCCGTACCTCCTCCAGTGAAGCTCCTGGGACAGTGGAGATTAACCCCCAACCCCTCAGAGCCAGATCATCAGAGGCTCTAGACATCTGAAGGAGCGCTCCCCGTAGAGAGGACCAGCCAACCTGCTACATCCACTGACGCAGAGTTAACCAGAACATCGAACATCTGGGATCCTGGTGAAGGTAAGTCAGAAATAAGCTGTTAATATATATTTTATAATGAGACTGGATAAGTGACTGAATTTCATAGATGTTGTTGCTAGGGTAACCACCTCAAATAGTAGTTAAAGTGGAATAAGTTGGAGAATGTGGTAGGCCATGATAGGATAGACATGATAGATAAAGACTGCTATAAAACTGTATGATTCTCAATTCCCTTAAAACATAGTAATAGAATTTTTATTTATTTTACGCCATTCTAACTAAACAGTTTGAGTGACAGAGCTCTAGATGAAGTAACCACTAAATCTGACATTATTCTACATAAATATGTTGTTTGTATGTTTTAATCTAACCTCATGAGTTTTGAGTGCAACATTTATACATTGTGAAAAGGGATGCCATGTAGTTTTCTTTCTGTTATATCATTATCAGTATTACTGTCAGTTGGATGCCATTCTTTTGTTGTTGCGCGTCTTGGTATTTGTTGCCCCCTTCGTGCATGTGAAGCATTACAATGTTTGTGCGGGTGCAAGCAACCTGTGCAAACTCAAACCCAGAGCTGCCTGCATCTTTGTACATAGACACCTTTTCACTCTTTACATGTTGCAACTTTAACAGTGTTTATCTTCTCGCTAAGTCAATGCATTTGACAAGTGTCCCGGAGCTTCCCATACACAGACCTGTTTGTATGCTCTCCACTTGCCCCAATGCTAAAGGGGTTGTTTATACAGCTCTCTTCACTCACCCAAAGTGAACTGGCGCTCCTTACTGCTAAAAACATTCATTTTTTTTACTCCCTTGGGAATTTTTTCAGCAGGATCAATCTTCTCTGCATAGCAAAGTAGCACATTGTAAAGCATAGTTTCACATCAATATCAGAACTGGCATCCGTCATTGACAATGGCATCCTCATTATTATCTGCCTGAACTTACTACTCATGTAAACAACTTAAAAGCTTGGCACACCACTCAGCCTATCCATGGGTTTCAGAATGATGGTTTGAAGTTTAGGCCTGACACAATAACAAATTTTGAAGTGTTATATATAGTTGATGTAAATACTGACGATAAATTATAATACTGAAACTAATTTATGCCACAATAACCCAAGAGCAGATTTATCCCAGATTTTTAAATTTTTTTTTTACAATATTGTTAAAACAACCAGAGCTGCAATAAATAATTGGAAAAAAAAAAAAAACTACAAAAACAACCAAAAACAACAACAACACTTTAATAAGTCATAGAAGTTGTTATTTCAACCTTTTATGACTTATAACTTATCATATAACCAAAAAACAACCAAGGGCAAATAGAGTACACACGATAAATATTGACCCCGAAAAATATTGTTCCAGCTTGCATATATTGAGTTGATAAGTTGATATAGTATTCATCATAACAGGCCTATGTAAGTTTGGACCATTGCCATAGCAATTAAAAACTCAAAACTTAATATTATATCTGTCTTTTTATCTTTTGAGTGTGAACTGTTGTCAAAATGGCCCCATATAACAGGAAACTGAAACTATTAGGACCTGTCTTGTCTTTTCCATGGAATACCTTAGCAACAGCTGAATAGTATTGTATTATTTATTATGGGAGGATATGGTAACTGAAATGAGTTGCATTGCAGGGAGTGAGTCCAGAGCTGGGACACATGTGGCATGCGTGTCTCTCCCCTCTAATCCTCCATATGTTTTGCACCTGAACGTGACCAAACTTCCTCACATTTATGGTGACTGTGGCGCTTATGGCTTACCATTCATGCTTCCACTCTAAGGCATTTTAATATATGTAATCACTGATGGATGTCTCAAATGATGTGGACCATGTGTGACTTAAAGGTGCATTGTGTAACTTTTCTGGTGGAGGGTCTGTCAGATGCTTTTCTCTGTTGAGATGTTATTGTTTTGTCTGGAATGTTTCACAGTATGGTATTAAACCTTTTTTATGTTTATGGAGAGAGAAAAAAAGAAGTTACAGGTCAGACCTGTGGAGAGGCAATCCCACTCACAGTCAGAATGCCTGATTTTCAAGGTGTTTTTGAGCCTTATAACCTCCTGTAACTGAAAAAATAGGGCAGTTTAATGTCACTTTGTGGAACCTTGGAGGCAGAGCAATGATATATCCATAAAAACAAGCAGGTGATGGACCCCCAACCAAAAAGCTACATAGTGCACCTTTAAAGACAGACAATGGGATTCCCCTTTTTGAAGATCGAAATGCACGTCATGTTTAGCTTTGGCTTTGTGGAGTCCCAAAATTGCTCTGTGCTGTTGTTACAAATGAGCTGTTGGAAAGTTACATACATGTCATTCCTTCACTATCCACAGCGTTAGATGTTATTGCATTCAGATCATAGCTTCATCTCCTGCTGAACATTTTGCAGCATCAATAATAAAATAAAACAATAACCCAGACAAGTAGAGCTTATAAAACTTAGTGATGTTTCATTTGTCTTTGGAGCAAAGGGGATTTCTCTGTGTGTACGTCAGACTGCTGGTATGCACTGAAGCACAGCACTCTCTGGTCTAATACATGTGCCCAGTCCGCCCCACGCCCCTCTTTTCAAACCTAATCCTCCATCATCAGCTGTTTCCTGGCTCCTGGACTCTACATGCCAACCGCGTCTACAGACAAAATGTGCTTTAAATTATAACTGTGCCCAGAACATGACCAGGAGCCTGTTTTAAGTAACTCGTGGCGATATGTAGCAGTTTCAACGAGTGCTTTTGGGGCCAATTGATCTGAGCATGATTTATGTCCCTTGCACAGCTGTTGAGCAGTCTGACATGGATTTGATATCGCTTCATGTGATCGTACTTATGGTTGTGATGGAAAATGATCCCTTTTTGTTTGAAGAACAAGGGTGACGGATTCTCTGGTGATCTTTTCTGGGCTTAAATACAGTTCATCACTTAGAGTTAGTTTGAGCAGTCACATGTACAGGACAGAGCAAAGTCCTGAGACAGATTGTTATGAAAGACTGCACACACTGATTTTATAGCTTTATTTTATAGTCTTATTGTTAGTTAAGTTTCCTTTTTCAGTTGCAGTATTTGCACATGATTTTCTTTTGTATTAATTTTGGTTTCGTTTATTTATGTTTAGCATTCAGCATCATCTTTTTTTTTCCCCTGTGAAGAAAAAATTACACAGTGCACTTTTAAAATGCCATTGACCATGAAACTAATTCAACAATAATTTTACTAACGTTTTATATCTTAAAGAAACATATATTTCTGTAAGCACTTTACACACCTCATTACAACCCTCTACACATGGTACTCTAGCTTTCCACAGGTCACTTCAGCTGGTCGTGAAACTGTGATAAATGAAGGGGTCCTAAGTGGTTTGGTGATATGGCGTCCTTTTGGTCCATCTGGTTTGTTCCTCCCACTCGCTCACTCCCAATGACAGGCAGCTGCATCGCTTCCTCCGTCCAAGAGCTCGACCACTCCTGCAACACTACTCCTCTGAGACATGTTTCTTTTATGAGCTCTTACAAGAAACCCACAATTTAAAAAATCTGGTGTGCATTAAATACTGCATTAAAGCAGAACTATGTAACTTTTCTGATGAAGGGTATGTCATTTGCTTGTCTCCATGGAGATGTTTTGCCTGGAATGTTCCACAGTATGGTATGCAGAATAGGATCTGCTTTACATTGATTCAGTTACAAGTGTTTGTGTTGCTCAGAAATACCTTGACAAACATGCAATCTTATTGTGAGTGGGGTTGCCTCTCCACAGATCTAACCTGCAGCTTGGCTTGGTGGCATCATCTGCTTGTCCCCATTAAAATAGATAAGATAGTTTAAAGCCATACTGCACATCATAGGCAAAGAAATAACACCTCTATGGAAACAAGCATGGTGGACAGAGATTACATAGTGCATTTTAAGATTGAAATTAACTTTTAAAATAGCTTAAAATAAGTTATTGTTGTTGTAAGTTTCTGTTAGTGGCTTCAGCAACTATAAAAATGAACCTAATATTTTAAGGTACATCAAAGTGCTTTGTTTGTGGTCTTAGTACTGTCATGGGTCCAATGATAACAGAGTGACTCTGGTGTGATACAGTGCAGACAGAGGACACGGCAGAACAAGTTCTAGTCCACCAAAAAAAAAAAAAAAAAAACTAATTTAGACTGGATTTAGCTCAAACAAGAAGATAAGCAGTTACATGACCAATAATAACTTTTACATAGGCCTATTTATTGATGAATAGAAGATATGGTGATGATCGAAGAATAATAATACATTTTCACTCAGAAGTTCTTGTACTGATTTTGTATCCCATTATTTAAAACTTTTTTTTTTTTTGAGTTAAGTATCTTTCTTTGGGCTCTGTCTTTAAATGTTACATGCCATGGGATCTTGAAATGAATTTTATTGTCTGTAATCAATTGCCAATCTGTCCATTAATTTTATCACTGTTAATGATTCCTTTATGGACTTTTTTTTTTTTTTTTTACACTGCACAACACATACTTCACTGTACAGTACTTTGTTACCATGACTACAGTTGGTTCTTTCTGTTTTGACAAGAAGAAGTATTGGAAGTTGAGGCTGTACCTCCTAATTGTGTTCAGCTGGTTCTGGTTTTGGAGGTGTTTAGGAGTCGGACGAGTGTAGGCGTCTGTTTCTCCAGAGAACAGTTTTGGGGCTTCACGTTTTTGGGAGGACACAGGAAGAAGGAGGGATGGATCAGAGCGAGGGAGAGAGAGGGGGAGAGAAAGGGGGGCACATGCTCAAGAGTTGAGAAAAAATGAGAGGATGTGATGTTTAAGGTTCTGAAATTTATTATATACATTGGTGAAACTACTTGTTATCATTTAGTTCAGTCCAAAATGACAACCAACTATGACAAGATTTACAGGAATGAAATGACTTATAGTTTTTCCATTCCAACTATAACTCTTACGTTATTTCCTTTAAAATGATTCAATGAACTTTTTAAAAAATCATTTTAGTACAAAATTAAAATAGACTGATAAATGTGACTTAAATACCACCA